GGGACACCCCCAGCTCTTGACTCACGTATCTCTTGGAGGTGGGCACCAAAGTAGACCTGCCCTGGTGCTCTGCCCCTGGAGCCGGCAGGAGGAGTGCAGCCTGCAGGACCCTCCTGCTTTGGACCCCTGTGTCAGCCCTGGACGCACCTCCTGCCATCCCGTCCTTTGTGCCCACGCCTGACCAGCCACAGTGGTGGGAGCAGAGCCCCGCCCTGTAACCACTCAGTAGCACCCTTGGCTCTGCCAGGGGAGCTGCGTGAGCACAGGCCCGGTTCTGCAGGGAGCCTCTGCTGAGCTTGGCTTTAACTTGGCTTCCTGGGGTAACGGGAGAGAGGTTTCTAGATCAGAGGGTGGACGCTTACTTCATTCTGCCCAGAACTCCTTGCAGGTGGTTGTCAGGAGGCACTGGCCTGGAAAGGTCCCATTGCCTTGCACCCTCACCTGCTGGCTTCCTGTTGCTGCCCGGCCTCTGGCTGTGGCACTCTGACACATGCTGGGCAGTTCAGTTGCCCCTTCTCTCCCAGAGTTTGCTTGCCACTTGAGGGCCCCCCTGCCTGCTTGGAGGTGCCCAGCTCTCCACTCCACCTTCCCCTCTCCCCGTGTTAACTAGCACAGCAGGTGGGGCTGCCTAGAGATGGCTGTGTCTCTTTTGGACGCCTGGGTTCTGATCCACTGCTTGCATTCCACAGCTCCTTGCCCATACAGTATGTTTGTTTTCCTTAATTCCAAGTTCTCTGATGGAGGGGCACCTGAGGGGCTCCTCACGGACCACTGACATCTTTTGTCTTTAGTGCCTCTGTTTTCCAACACAGAGGGCCTGTGAGAGTGTGATCACAGACGATGCGTGGGGTGCCGTGCACACGGCTGCTCTGGCCTGGTGTCTGTAACCACTCAGAGGAGGGAGGAATAGGAGGTATGAGTGACAGATGGGAAATGGAGGCAGGTGCACAAGGCCAAGTACCTTGTAACTGCCTGGCTAGGATGCCATTGATAGGTTCCCACTCATGGGTCTCAGGCAGTGGCTACTCCACGTAAGCACTGGGCTCCATTGGCCTTGTGCCGCAGCGTTCCTAAATGGTGAAGTGGAATGCAAAAGCCAACCCTGTTGGTAGCGCTGCTCCATCTCAGTCCCTAAGGTCTGCCAGGAGTGCACGGGGCCGGAGGTAGGGGGCTGGGTGGCTGAGCTCCTCGGGGGGTCCCAAGCAGCTTCCCCAACACGTCCAGTGCAGCAGCTGCTGGTGGGGGAGAAAGCCGGAAGCGTGGCCTTTCCCTCCCAGCCACACGGGCCCGCAGGCTCTGCGCAGGGAGAGACCCCTGTGCTGGCTCACGCATCCTCCTCGTGAGAGGTCAGGAAGCACAGACTGGGTTCTAGGCTGTCAGTATGGGACGAGCAAATAGTACCCAGCCCTGGTACCTGGGGAACAGTGGTTCTATGGGGTGGGGAGGTCAAACGGAGGGGCCTGACATGGAGTGTGTAGTTCAGCGAAGGCTGGCCTCTCCCTAGAAGGGAGCTGAGGCTGGAAATGGGGAACGAGAAGGAAGAAATGAGGAAAGATGTGCAAGTTTCTCAGGAGGAGGAAAGGATGTGCAAAGGCCCTGTGGCAGAGAAAGAGAGGAACCAGGAGACTGAGTGGTAGGGGAGGAGGCGGTATAGGGTCCAAGGCCAGGCAGGTCCCCTTGGGTGCCTTCAGCTTGGGGTGCCAAAAGCCTAGCAGTACGTCAAGGTTTGCTTCCCTCTCCCTTTTAAGAAAGATGTATTGGGCCCGGTGCGGTGGCACAATGGTTAAGGTTCTCGCCTTGCACGCCCAGGGTCCCATATGGGCACCGGTTCTAATCCCGGCCGCCCCACTTCCCATCCAGCTCCCTGCCTGTGGCCTGGGAAAGCAGTCGAGGACGGCCCAAAGCTTTGGGACCCTGCACCCGCATGGGAGACCCGGAGGAGGCTCCTGGCTTCGGATTGGCTCAGCTCCGGCCGTTGTGCTCACTTGGAGAGTGAATCATCGGACGGAAGATCTTTCTCTCTGTCTCTCCTCTCTGTGTATCTGCCTTTCCAATAAAAATAAAAAATAAATCTTTTTTTTTAAAAAGAAAGAAAGATGCATTCATTTATTTGAAAAGTAGAATTAGAGAGACAGAAGGAGGAGCTTGAAGCCAGGAGCTGGAACTTAGGACTCAACTCCATCCTGGTCTCTGCATGGGGAAGACCCACACATGGACTCCCCAGCAGCTGGGTCGTCATCCGCTGTATCCCAAGATGTGCATGCTTGGGAAGCTGCATCAGAATCGGATTAGCTGGGCTGGAATCAGGCACTCTGATGTCCCAGCCAGCAGCTTAACCTGCAGCGCTGCAACACTACTGGTTCCAAGTCGTGCACTTCTAACAGAACTTCCCCTTAGATGTGGAATAATTATCTGAATTCATATTAAAGGTATGACATTGAATCCTTTATATACCACTAATAAGTGTTCAAATCATATAGTTCTATGAGGAATGTCTAAAACTCAGAGCCTGATATCCATAAGGAATAATTTGTTTTTATTGGAAAGGCGGATGTACAGAGAGGAGAGACAGAGAGGAAGATCTTCCTCCAATAATTCACTCCCCAAGTGATTGCAATGGCCGGTGCTGCGCCAATCTGAAGCCAGGAGCCAGGAACTTCATTCCGGGTCTCCTACACGGGTGCAGGGTCCCAAGGCTCCAGGCCATCCTCGACTGCTTTCCCGGGCCACAGGCGGGGAGCTGGTTGGGAAGTGGAGCTGCTGGGATTAGAACCGGCACCCATATGGGATCCCGGTGCATTCAAGGTGAGGACCTTAACCATTACACTATCGTGCCGGACCCCAAAAGAAAAATTTTTTTTAAATGAATGCATATTCATGGTACAGTTCACATAATAGATAAGGTTGTGAATAAGGAAGTTAAGTGAGGACTGGCGTGTGGCTCAGGGGCTGAAGTCCTGGCCGTTGTGCCCATATGGGTAGTGACACAGCACACGGAAGGTTGGTCCCGGTGCCTGTGTTCTGACGCTCGCTCGGGAGCTGGCACTCCAGGGCACTCCACACAGGTGGCGCCTTCACTGCCCTCCACGCAGCTGTGTCTGCCGCCGCCTCCCGCGAGTTTCCTTCTCCGCTCTGTGTTTAATATTTCAGCTGCACACGACCTGGGGCATCTTGGGGACCGGTGTGGCTGACCCACTTACCCAGCCAGCCGTTTTTCTCACATCTTGGGCTGAGAGCACAGGGGGTCTCCGGAAGAAAAGCAAGGAGGGGGACAGGGAGGGGTCACCGCGCCGGGGCAGCTGCTCAGCCAGGCTTCTGCTGACAGCAGCAGACAGGAACCAAACAAGGGCAGGCTGGTCGGCGATGGCCACAGGGGCCACTGATGCAAGTGGCTTCCCAAGAAATCAGCTTTGATCCCCTGGCCTGCGATGGTGGCGTAGGGTGTGTGTGGTGTGTGTGTGTGTGTGTGTGTGTGTGTGTGTGTGTGTGTGTCTGTGTGTACACAAACCCCTGAGAGTGTGTGTGTGTCCCCCGCCCCCAGTCTGATTATTTCTACTATTTATAAAAGGAACCGGAAATCAAAGGTGTAAATCTTACCCTCGGCAGTGGAGACACCAGCTTCATCTTTTTTCTTCTCTTTTTAAAAAGATTTATTTTTATTGGAAAGGTAGGTTTACAGAGAGAAGGAGATACAGAGAGGAAGATCTTCCATCTGCTGATACACTCCCCAAGTGGCTGCAACAGCCAGAGATGTGCTGATCCGAAGCCAGGAGCCAGGAGCCTCTGTTGGGTCTTTCATGTGGGTGCAGGATCCCAAAGCTTTGGGGCCGTCCTGCTCTCCCAGGTCATAAGCAGGGAGCTGGATGGGAAGTGGGGCTGCTGGGATACGAACCGGCGCCCATATGGGATTCTGGCAAGTGCAAGGTGAAGACCTTAGGCGCTAGGCTACCGTGCCGGGCCCCTGCTGCTTTTTCTCACCGCCTGGGACCTCCGCCCCTTCCCCAAGAAGTGTCACCTTCACCACCTTCAACATCATCAGCTGGAGACGGCCTCCGGTCCAAGCCGGGGGTGGGGATTGGGTGTGGAGGGCAGAGGCTAGAGAAGTGCCTCACTGCCAGCGGGGAGGGCGGCTTCCCCATGAGGGCGAGCGAGGTCTGTCCCTGGCTCCCGGCACCCTAAGGACGCCTTTTCCAGGCATTCACCCATCCTCATTGGCCACGACAGGAACAGCGGGTGCCAAGGACCTGCTAGACGCAGCTCCAACCACTACTTGGGACCAGAAAACAGCATTATTGGTGGTCGTCTCCTCCCTCAGCTTGGTCCCCGACTTCTCACCCCTGGCCCTGGCTTCTGCCTCGCCTCGCCGTTCTGAGCCTCTGGCTATCACAGGCCTCAGGTCTTCAGGGCGCCTGGCGCAGGGGCGGCTCCTCCCGAGGCGACGGCGGGGCGGGCACACATCCGTGCCCCCCGCCCCCGCCCCGTGCCATCCATGACGTCAGAGGCGGACCCGCTAAAGTGAGCTGCGGCGGCGACTCGGAGCCTCCAGCACGGACGGAGCCCACACAGCCGCACAGAGGACCCCTGCTGGCAAGCCGTACAGGACCGGGAGGTACCTACTCCCTGTCCCTGCCTTTGGGCTGGAGGAGCGTGGGGCTGGGGGAGGGCAGGGGGAGCTTCCCCAATGCTAGGGGCGCGGGGTTCCGGGGCCCAGGGGGGCTGGGGAGAGCTGGGGGCGCAGGGCACACGGTGTGCGGGTCCCCGTGGCGCGCCTTGAACGCATCCCGGGAAAGCAGGGTGCCTCCGAGTGGCAGGGAGCTGGGCAGCATCCCGGGCTGGGCCCCCCGACGGCGGTCACGGGCGCTGTTGCCTTGGCGCGCAGGCGCTCGGGGTAGCTGCCCGACGGCCCTGGTGCACTGGGCAAAGGCGGAGCGGGCACAGGGTGCTGATCCCGACTCCATCGCCCTCACTTCGCGCTGCGCCCACAGCCGCGCCCCGGAGCCATGGCCTTGAGCGAGCTGGCGCTGCTGCGCTGGCTGCGGGAGAGCCGCCACTCGCGGAAACTCATCCTTTTCATCGTGTTCCTGGCGCTGCTGCTGGACAACATGCTGCTCACCGTCGTGGGTACGTAGGCGCGCCCGCTGCCCCTGCGCGGCTCCCCAGTGCCCGGAGTGCAGCCGAGAGCCCAGGCTTTGCCGAAGCGCTGGGGAGCTGCGTCTGTGGCTAGGCTTTCCTGGCCACAAACTGCGACTTCCGATGAGAGTCGGCGCGCGTGTTTCCTTCTGATAGTGGCCGGCTTCCCCTTGCCCACCATCTCCGCGATGAGAGAGATTTCTAGTAGGGCAGTAATTCTCAAGAGTTCAGTGAGCTGGTCTACTTTGACTGCTGGGAAACGTGAGTGGAGAATTTGACGTGACAGCTGGGGGAACGCGTCGCCATTTCCATGTAGAAAAGTCAGGGAAAAGCATTTGACTGGAAACAAGAGCAGCTCGGAGCTCGTTGGCTCTAGCTTTTGTCTTACATGGAGTGTGGAAAAATTCAATGCACATTAGAAACCCCAGAAAAGGGATGTGGAATACTTTCCCTTAAAAATACCCTGGCTCTTCCTGACTTTAGTCCCTTGGACCCCTCTCTCTTTGGGAGGCGTTCAGACTCTCAATCGGGCTTTCTGGGTGATCAAGTGTGACGAGGCACATTGGGGTTCAGGCGCAGGGTCTCAGCACACCTCGGTCCCCCTGGATGGCTGCTGGGTGCCTGCCTCTTGTATCTGGGTCTCCTCAGGTTGCCCGTAGCAGTGCGTGCCCCCCACCTGCGTGGCAACGCTGAAGAGGGTGTGTTGCTCAGTTTTAATACTGTAACTTCCTGCAGGTGGATTGCTACCCTCTCCCACCCCCCCAGAGAGCAGGAGGACACTGAGCCCTCTGCTTTCTGAAACCATTCTTGATGTCTCAGGAGCTTTCTTCTAAGAGCGTGGGTTGAGGCTGGGTCATCCTTGACTTCAGGTTTTGTCTCCCTTTGCTGACATGCTGCTCAGAAGGGACACCAATGGCAGAGGTCCGGGTCACTTAGCTCCACACAGCCACACCCAGCCTGGGTTGGTGTCTGGCCCAGTTTGGCTGCTGTCACCCAGGGAAGGGGTGTTGGGGAGCTCACCATGCCCCACTGTGCCCTTGTCTCCAGTCCCCATCATCCCCAGCTACCTGTACAGCCTGGAGCACCAGAAGAACATGACAGAAATGCCGACAGCCAAGCCCGCACTGCCGGCCTCCGGCCCGGGCCGCTTCCAGAACATCTTCTCCTATTATGATAACTCCACCATGGTCACTGGGAATGCTACCGGGAACCTGCAGCAGGGGCCTCTACTCCGGGCCTCTGCCACCACCCCGCACCCGGTGACCAACGTGACTGCCACCCCCTCCGACTGTCCCAGGGAAGACAAAGACCTCCTGAATGAGAACGTGCAGGTTGGCTTGCTGTTTGCCTCCAAAGCCAGCGTGCAGTTGATCACCAACCCGTTCATAGGGCTGCTCACCAACAGGTAGGTGCCATGCTGGGAGGGCGGGCAAAGGACTTGATGTTCCTGCTGCAGTGCTGCTGGGTGCTTTCCTGGACGCTGAAGGGCCCCTGCTGGCCACCCCCCCCTCGTGTTTGTCCTCCACTGCTCCCCACTTCCCTGTGTCCCACGTGGTCCTGCTCCCCTCAGTTGCTCAGAAAATAACAAGAAGGTAATTAGCAAAGGCAGAGAGGGAGGCCATGCTTTTGGCTGCAAGTGCATCTTACCAGTGCCTCTGGCAACAGGAGCCCCACGCAGGCACAGCCACGCCCTATTAGGTGGGAGGTTTTCTCCTTTCTTCTCTCTGGGACCACAGACTTTGTTCTATTAAGGACAGGTGATTTCTTTTAGGGCCCAAGCCAGCGCAGGGCACACCAGGAGGGGTCTGTGGCTGATTGATGCCTGAGGTGCACCCTGGACCTCTCTGTTCACAAGCACAGGGGGCAAAGAACAAGGGTGGGGAGGGGCTGCCATCTGGGGAAGGCAGGTCCCCCAGCCAGCTCTGTAATAATCTGGGTGTTCTTGATTCTTCTGGATCCACATGTGTGAAACAATTGTTCTCTTCTGTGTCACTGGTGATAGCCTGGCTAGTGTTTGTGGCTGGGGTGTCCCGGGTCTGCCTGGTGACGGGGACTCGCGAGGCAAGGCACAGGGGGTCCCTGAAGGGGTCCCCTGAGAGGTAGTCAGAGCCAGTAGGGCTGCATAAGTGACGGAGGCCGCAGTGTGAACCGAATAGCCCCCAGACAGAAATGCGCAAGGGAAGTGTGCGGAGGCCAGGCTGTGTGCCAAGCCCTGAGCAGCAACTACGAGCAGAGAGGCTGGAAGACGGGGGGCGGTTGGGGCCGAGGAAGGCAGTGCTGGGAGGGGCACGGGGTGGTTGAGAGGCATCAGAGGCAGGCGTTTGGCCTTGTGGCCATGGGCCGACTTGGCACATTGCATCTCATGTGGGGTTTGAATCCAGGTTCTTCCCTGATTCCAGCTTCCTGCTGGTGTGTTGCCTCCTGAGACACAAGGACCTGGGTCTCTGCCAGGCACCTGCCAGCCAGCTGTGGCTGGGGCAGGAGAGGGAACTAGTGGGTGGGACATCTCCTCTCTCTCTCTGCCTTTCCAATATGTAGCTATATCTTAAACAAGCCATTCCAAAGTCAAACCAAAGAGCTAACGAGCCAAGCTGAGGGGGAGGGGACGAGGGTCAACTTCCTCATTGGTGGGGCGCAATGCCAAGTGAATGTGAAAGCCTCTAGTATGGAGATTGGGCATTTAAAAAAATATTTGCTTATTTTTATTCAAAAGGCAGATTTACAGAGAGAAGGAGACATAGGAAGAACATCCATCCATTGGTTCACTCCCCAAATGACCCCAACCACCAGAGCTGAGCTGATCTGAAGTCAGGAGTTTCTTCTGGGTCTCCCATGTGGGTGCAGGATCCCCAGACTTTGGGTCATCCCCTGCTGCTTTCCCAGGCCACAAGCAGGGAGCTACATTGGAACTGGAGGAGTGGGGACATGAGCCAGTGCCCGTATGGGGTGCTGGTGCTTGCAGGCGTAATATTAGGCTGTTGAGCCATCACACTGGCCCCAGAGATTAGGCGTTTTGAGACAAAGCAGCAGAGCATTCAGGCAATTTGAGGAGCCCTGTACAACTCTGAGGTTGGGGTTTAGGAGATGAAGAGCCCTGGGATGCTCCGAGGAGGGTGATGTTCACAGTCAGTGAGAGTTGGCTTGGACACGTGGAGGTGGCTGGTGCTGAACTTGGTAAGGCCCTCAGGAACCCAATCTCTGTGTCTGTGCTTGGATTTTCTGCATCAAGTGATGGCATTGAATGATTTTCAAGAGCCCTGAGCCCAGTCCGGCCCTCTACCCTGTGCAGAGCAATATTATGAGGTTTTCAGCCGATTAACCTAGCGACCGGCTCTTTGTGCGCCCCGCCCGCTCCTGCCCCAGCACCATTATCCTGGTGACACTTGGAGGAGGTGCCTCCATTCCCCAGGAGGAAAACCAAACAGACGATTGCAGTTGTGGGATTTGTGTTCTGTTTTTTTATTCAAGACCCAGCCCGCTGCTCAAATGCATCTGGCGTAATTACAGAAAACGGCGTAGGGTTTTGTGTTCCGAGAGAGCAAATACTGGATGTGAAAATGGAGTACATTATGATAATAGTGCCTTGCCAGTCACTTGGATGGGCACGTTAGTCGCCAAACAGTGGAGTACTTAGAAGCCTGGTGAAACGACGCAAGCTTTCTGATCTTCTACACGCGAACGGCGAATGAAAAGCTTTTCAGAAATCCCATCCTCGTGTTTAATGATTTGCTTATGCCATGGGCAAGAAGCTTGTTTAAAAGCATGGCGGAGGGCCCACCCCTGTGACATGCTGCACGTGCTTGGAGCACACAGCTACCCACGGCTCCTGCTGGAGCTCCCCAAAATCCATTATCCAAGCAGGTTTTCAGATTGCTGTCAGCAAAACCATTAAGCGAATTCTGTTGTGCCTTAAAAATGATCAGGCTCTGTACTTTTCCCGCTATGTCCCAAGCCCTAGGAGACAGGAGACTGGAGAGTGACTCTTCCTCTAGGCTTTGCCACCCAGCTGCCCTGGCCACCCCTGTCCCCAGGGCTCAGAGGGACACTGGCAGAAAGGACAGATACGTCCCACTTCCCCGTGTGAGCCGTTGCACGCCGCCTTCAGATGCAATTTGTGCCAATCATCCTCAATTGCTAACAAGATGTCATGACGCACATTGTCAGTGTTGTAAGCAGGTGTGTTGCCAACAGCCTTTTAAGTATGGTTGATATGTTTCCGATGAAAGGGTCATTAAAAATCTATGTCACTCACTCTGTTGCTGTTAAACAAGCATACGCCCATAGCGTTTTCAAGCAGCTCGTGTGAAGGGGGCATCAAGCAGCTCATGGCAAATGGATTGAAAGGTTAGGTGAATGCAAACAGTTTTGAAATCCATGCAGTTTCTCCCTAACACGTGTGTTCTGAGAACTTTCTGAAGTGCCTTTGGTGTTCTTGATTGGAGTTGCTGATGGCACAGGGCGTCACACCTTGCAGGGCTGGTCCTGGTGTCTCGCAGTACAGCACCGGGCACCGTCTCTGGCCTCGGCAGACCCCGTTCCCACGGGAGGCTCTGTCCTCTGCGTCCTGTCCTTCCCACCTGCTCCCTGTTTGTGCTGTTAGTCAAACTCTGGCTCTCTTGCATCCATCCGTGTCCCTCCTGGTTATACCTGGCTGAGTAGGGAGAGACCCAATAAGTTGTTGATTTATTTATTTTTGTTGGAAAGGCAAATTTACAGAGAAGGAGAGAGAGAGAGAGCTTCTGTCCACTGGTTCATTCCCCAAATGACTGCATGGCCAGAGCTGAGCCAATCTGAAGCCAGGAGCCAGGAGCTTCTTCTGGGTCTCCCATGTGGGTGCAGGGTTCCAAGGCTTTGGACCATTCTCTACTGTTTTCCCAGGCCACAAGCAGGGAGCTGGAAGGGAAGTGGAGCAGCCGGGACACAAACTGGCACTCATATGAGATCCTGGCATGTGCAAGACAAGGACTTTAGCCACTAGGCTCCCACACCAGACCCTGCTGATTGCTTTATAAAATGTATAGAGAGACTTTACAAAGCAACCAGCCTGAAATCTTTTTCCAGCTTGTGGTGTGAACTGGTCCTGCTTAGCTCTGTATTCCTGAACCTCATAGGGCAGACTGCTTTGGCCCCCTGGCCTGGATTTAAGTGGGAGCTGCTTTGAAATGGTTCCCCCTCATCCCAGCAGGCAGCAGCCACGGTTCCTGTACCGATGGCTGTGAGGGCGTGTTGGGCCTGGCTTATGTGTGTGTAGTGAAGTAGAAAAGAAGGCTGCTTTTCTTTTGTGTTAAGACGTGGATAAGATCTCAGATCTGACCCTGAAAAACCAAAGCAGCCGTTCCTGGGAGGCCTTTAGGTGCTGGCCGGGCTGTGCTGGGATACAGCTTAGTCTCATGTGTGTGCTTGGGGAACTGTTTGCTCACTGAAGACATGTGACCAGGGAGGGAGTGAAGGATTTGGGCAAGGCCCGAGGCTGCCTTAGTTGAGTGGGCATCTGTCTTGGACACATGGGCCACTTTCAATTGCAGTGGAACTGTCTGTCACCCTTGCAGTTACGTGTAGGTGACAAGGGGGGTGGGGATGATAAACTAGTTACGGCTGTCATGATTTGGGCCCGTGAATGAAGCGTAGACCTAGGCGACTGTGTGTAGGAGAGGAATGTTCTAGGCACAAACCTGGTGTGATGCACCTTTGCCTCTCCCTGTTTGATGAGCTGGGTAGGGTTGTTGCACCCGGGTCTTTGCTCACTTAGCCTGAGGCTGATGGATGGCTGGCCTCTTCAGGAGCGCCCTGATGCTGGGGCCACATCCTGCGACCTCCTCCTCCGCTTGTCGTGGTCTCCGTGGTCTGCTTTTTATCAAGCTGGTGTCAGGGACTTAATTTATTTCCATAGTGACCTAGTGTATTTCGGAGCGATTATTCTCCCTCCCACTTCTCAGCTCCCAGCGGATCGGGGAAGGAGGAAGGAGGCCAAAGGCCATGAAGAAAATCTCTCTGAAATCTCCTGTGGTCACTCCCCGCCCCCAGTGTCACAGCCATCGCCAGGAGAGGGCTGCGAGGGAATCGGCAGTGACCTTTTCAGCTGCAGGCGGGGGAGGCCAGCAGCCGCTCCGGAAAGGGGGTTTCGCGTCTTAGAAGCTTCTAGAAGCCGGCAGGGAGGGCGTGCCGGGTCCTCTTCTGTAAAGCCCATTGAGTATTGAGTATCGTTCTGTTTGCTTATCGTGAGGAATGGGCCCAGAGCATTGAAGAGGGGGAGTTCACCCCCTCCTCTCTGCATGCTGCAAAGCCCCTCACTCTGGCTGTCACTCACCCTCGTGGAAGAAACGTGGCGAGCAAACCTTTGGTTATTGTACATATTTTTCTAGAGATTCGAAATGTGATTTTTTTTAAAGTCTCCTTCAAACTGGATTAGCTGCTCCCTGATTGTGGGGATGGCCGTGGGCTGGGATGACTCACGAGGATGCTCAGGGAACGTTGGGTTAAAGGTTGGCTGAACCTGCTCTGGCCATGCTGAGCAACGCTTGAATGGAGATGGCATCGGCTTGAGATGAGATGGCTATGAGTAATATCAGCTACATTTCCGTCCGTTTGGGGCCGTTGCTGTGCTGCATCCTCCTCCATGGCCCTGAGGCATCGTACGGCTCTGCGTGGCTGTTCAGGGGGCCAGGAGGACGTGGGGCGGGGGAGGACCACAGGGCCACAGAGGTCTGAGCAGGGAGGTCCAGGTTCAGGAGGATGCGCAAGCTACCCACAGCAAAGATGTTGCCCAGTGTTATCCACCGGGCAGCCCTGTCGACAGCTTGGCTGGTGCTGAAACCACAGAATGGATTGGGGGTGGGGCGACATCTCCAGCATGGTGGACCTGAAACCCTCAGCCTGTTCTGCGTCCCTGCTGAGCTGCTCCACCCCCAGAGCTCAGCTTGTTCCTGGGTGCGGCCGCTTTGGGCGGGCCAGCCTTTGAGTTTTCCATCTAGCTTTGCCCTCTGCTTACTCCCTCCAGGCTTTGTAAAATTAACTGCCAGAGGAATAAAGGCAGGAGCTGTGCTGTTTGTAAAGACAGCCCAGTACCTGGTGTGGTGAGGGTACAGCCCATGGCTTCTGGTGAGGCTTCTCTGGCCACTCACCATTGGGAATTCCTGCCTTGCCACCGGCGTCCCCGGTCAAGGGCCTGTCAGTGGGGCTTACTGCATGTTAGACACTCACAGCGCGCACATCATCCTGAGGCTTGGGGTACAATCTTTACCTTCCCCTAGCCTCAGGGTTGACCATCTAAAAAGTGGAGGCAGGGCCCGGCGGCGTGGCCTAGCGGCTAAAGTCCTCACCTTGAACACGCCGGGATCCCATATGGGCGCCAGTTCTAATCCTGGTGGCTCCACTTCCCATCCAGCTGCCTGCTTGTGGCCTGGGAAAGCAGTCGAGGACGGCCCAAAGCCTTTGGGGACCCTGCACCGCATGGGAGACCCTGAGGAGGTTCCTGGCTCCTGGCTTCGGATCGGCACAGCACCGGTCGTTGTGCTCACTTGGGGAGTGAATCATCGGACAGAAGATCTTTCTCTCTCTGTATATCTGACTTTGTAATAAAAATAAAATAAATAAATAAACTCTTTAAAAAAAGAGTGGAGGCAAAGCTGGCTCCTCCCCATGAGCTGGCTCCTCCCCATGAGCTGGCTCCTCCCATGGGCTGGCTCCTCCCCATGGGCTGGCACCTTATGTCCAGGAGCCCATGGGTCTTCTGTGGCTGCCAGCCTTCCCCTGCTGTGTCCTGACAGCCAGCTTACTTTGGCAACTGGCTCATACTCTCACTGGGTATGGTGTCCCTTAAACATTAGTTTAATGAATAGAGACAGGGACTGGCAGAAATTTCCGGTCTACTGGGGTACCACCTGGGCCTGCGACAGCTGGGGCTGGGTTAGGCTGAAGCCAGGAGCATGGAACCCATGAGGCCTCCTTCATGGGTGCCGGGACTCCACCACTTGAGCCAGCAGCTGCTGCTGCCCAGAGTGACTGGAAGCAAGAGGCAGAGCCAAGGCTTGGCCTCAGATACTCCACTGAGGGCTGTGAGTGTCCCGAGTGGCATTTTCACTGCGCTACCAAGTGCCTAACCGGTTGCCACGTTTGACCAAGATTTGTCCTGAAGCCTCCCCAGGCTTTCCTCTACCGTGTGCAAAGGGCTGCTGTATCTTGTTTGGCCAGAAGAGCTCCATGCACAAGCCTTCTCAATCAGCAAAATGGAGAACCTGTGGAGGTAGAATTAAGCTTCAGACTCCAACATCTTTGACCCACGCATCGGCTTCTTACTTCAGCTGCTGGGTTTTCTGAGTGTTGTGTGGCAAGGAGTGGGAAGCCCCTGTCTCCACCTGGGCAGGGCTGCGAAGTGTGTGGTCATGTGTGTGTGCTTTGCTGATCGTGCCATCATCATTAAACACCAACTACTGTCCAGGTCTCCCTTTGAAGCCCCTGGGGACACACCCCTATTTAGTGTCTGACTTTTGGCGAGAGGCACTACTGCTTGTTTCTGTCTGCATGGGGAAACCAGCTAGGGGTACAGAGCAGGCAGCCCGGGCTGTTGGAAGCTGCCCCCTGACGGTGCCCCATGAGCTGTTCACAGACTGGCAGGAGAGGTGGTAAAATGTAAATGTCCCAGGCTGGTGGGCATGGCCTGAGTGTGGTTAGCTGCTGGCCTTTGCCTCAGACCCCTCATCTCAGGCTCCTCCTCTGTCTGCAAGGTGGAGGGAGATGGTGGAGTGGCCCTAGGCAGATCCTGGAACTCTGGGGTGCAGAGCTTGGTGAGCTGAGAGTGACCTCCACTTAAAAGGGTTTAGATTCTAGACTCACTGTGACAGGCTCCCTTCCAGGCACCTCCTGGGCCTTGGCCCACTTGAACCATCTGTTCTTGTGGTTTTGTGGGCACCTCTCCAGGTTCCTGAGATTCGAGGCTGGAGAGACAGCAGGCCTGGGTGTCTCTGGCTCTGGGCTGCTCTGGGGTAAGGGCTAGGAGGAGCAACAGAGTGAAGATACAGAGAGGTCTTCCATTTGCTGCTTCACTCCCCAGTTGGCTGCAGCCACGCAAAGCCAGGAGCCTGGAACTCCACCTGTGTAGGAGCCCAAGCACCTGGACTCTGTTCTGCTTTGCTGGGCGCATTAGCAGAAGGTGGGATTAGAAATGGAACAGCCCATAGGCTGGCATTGTGCTGTAGCGGGGAAAGCTGCCGCTTGTAACGCCAACATCTGATATGAGCACTGGTTAAAGCCCCAGTCCAGCTCGCCGCTAATGTGCCTGGGAAGTATGCTTCCTGCACCCACTTGCACGATCCAGAGGAAACACCGGTCTCCTGGCTCCGACTTTGCCCAGTTCTAGCTGTTGCTGCCATTTGGGGGTGAACCAGCAGATGGAAGCCCTGTCTCTTACTTTGCACCCCTTCCTGTCCCTTGAAGCCCTCCCTCTGTCTCTAGCTCTTCTGTTGTCTGTATAACTCTATTAAATAATTAAATATACCTTTAAAAAAGGGAACAGGATTCAAACAGGACATAGGCATTATTGCAGCTGAGCTACAGTGCTGGCCCCAGAAAGTGACGTTTCTAAAGCATGTCCTGTGCCCTGGGCACCGCTGGGGACAGCTGCACACACACCTCTTTTCCCTCCAGGGGCCTGATTGGAGATTTGCCTGAGTCAAGTGGTGGCGCCCAGTGTCCAGCCTGACATGGGGCAACGGGAAGCCAGAGCCCTCTTGTCCCGCTCTCCCTGCCTGCTGCTGGAGCCCCTTGTGTGGGCAGGGCTGTCGCTGAGTCCTTTGGATACTGATTTTTAAATTATATATATAAATATAAAGATTCGCTATTTTTTGGAAGGCAGAGTTACAGAGAGTATCTTCTATGCCCTGGTTCACTCTCCAAATGCCCACAGTTGGTCAGGCTGAAACCAAGAGTCAGGAGCCTCCTCCAGTCCTACTTCGTGGGCACAGGGCCCAAGCATTTTGGGGGTCATCCTATGCTGCCTTCTCAGGCCATTAACAGAGAGCTGGATTGAAAATAGAGCATCTGGGATTCAAACTGGCAGCCGTATGGGATGCTGACTTTGCATGTGGTGGCTTAGCCTACTGTGCTGCAATGCTGGCTCTTGGTTTGAATTTTTGCACAGCAGGTGAGGCTGCTCCTTCTAGGCTGGCCTTCCCTAGGCCAACAGGCAGCAGATGTATAGCGTTGTTTCCCGATGCACTTTAGATGTGGTGTGGTTGCCTCTGCTGATGGTCGAGTTACCTGACAGATTTTTTTAGAATCACTTGGTTTTAAGGTGTCCCTTTGGGGAAGGACTAGAATTAAGGAAGTACATTTTTTTTTTTTTTTAGAGTGACAGAATAGAAGCTATGTATTTGACTGCATTCTGGCCTTTTTGCCAATAACACGTTAACATTTATTCCAGCTCCATTTCTCTTTGGAGCGGCAGTCTGTAAAATGTATTCATGCTCCAAGACGAGCAAACACGGAAAGGTCACATAGGGAGTGCTGAGTAGATGAATACTGAGAAAAGTCGACCAGATGCTTATTCACCAGATCCCCAAGGGTGCCAGAAGAGCTTTGGTCTAAAGCTTTAGAGAAACACCTGCGGGCACCAGCCTTTCCCATGCTTGTGTCTTACAGGATCGGCTATCCCATTCCCATGTTTGCCGGATTTTGCATCATGTTTATCTCAACCATCAGTAAGTGTGTGACGTCTGTCTTCCCAGGCCGCCACCTGTGGACTGAGGAGGAGGACACAGCCTGGGGGGTTATGGGAAGTGACAACAGTTGCTGGAAGAAGTGGGTGCAGAGAGGGCTTGGTGGGGTGGTGGGCCTGGGAGGTTTGGAGCGCTCCAGCCCAAGGGCCAGCGTCGACACAGGCCTGGGCTCTTTTCTCGGCAGTGTTTGCCTTCTCTACCAGCTATGCCTTCCTACTCATCGCCAGGTCACTGCAGGGCATCGGGTCTTCCTGCTCGTCTGTGGCTGGTAGGTATGGAAGCAAGTGAGTGAGCAAGTGAGCAAGAGAGAGAGAGAGAGTGTATGTGTGTGTACATTGCAGAGGGAGTTCCTCTTTAAGCCCAATTGAGCTAATTCAGGAACTTGGGGTGGGATAGGGCATGGCCGTGGGGATTCTCTGTGGAGCTGTGCGTTGTCCCTTTGGGTCCTGCCTGGTTTACACTGCAGGTTAATCTGGCAGGTTCCAGGAGATCAGGGGTCTGCTTGGATGCGAGGGATGGTGTGGGCACTATTTTGGCACCCCCGGGAGCTGGGTCCCCACTGTTTCTTTCCCCTATTCAGGGATGGGCATGCTGGCCAGCGTGTACACAGATGACGAAGAGCGAGGCAATGCCATGGGGATTGCCTTGGGAGGCCTGGCCATGGGGGTTTTAGGTGCGTATGGGCCCCCTGTGCAGGCCAGTAAGCGGCAGCAGCCTACCTGGTGCTGGGCCTTGGCCAGCGGCCCTGGACACACTAGAGCCAAGGCCGCTTTCACATGAACTGACACCCCAGCTGCCACCCTGATTTCCTTTGGGTAAGGATGGGAAGGGCCCAGAGCTGAGAGACCCCAGGCTTGCTGACTCTCTGACCCGAGTCTCCCTAGAGCCAAGTTTAGACATGAGGATGGAATAGGACAGTGTGCCAGAAGCTTTCCTCCGTGAGCTACCAGCTGAGCTTCTGCCTTTGCTGCCCCTCCTGCCTCGCCATGGAACAGCTGCGGTGTCCTCAGCCTGCACATCCTGGCCTTTGCGGTATAGCTTGTGCTGTTTATAACCAGTGATGTCCTTGCCACCCACCTCCACCCGTACCACATGGGGAGACAAGCTCTGTGACCAGGATCTCACTTGGCTCAGATCTTGGCCTTGGGCAACCTTCATGCAAAATACAAGATCAGTAGATACATAGGTAAACATGTGTATACATATATTTATTTAGGGGAACTGTATAATCGAGGCAAGTATATTGTGAAGTGAAGATACATTGCAGTATGCATCTCTACTGCTGAATAAAAGATGGACTCCCAATGAAACTGTTAATTACATATTGACAATGGGATACTAGACTTTCTACTGTTGTCTACACCTACAATGTCATGATACACTTAAATAGTAGAATGATGGACTTGTGACTGTTGTTCAAGGACTCTGCTATTGTAATAATATAGGGGAAAACAGTAGGGGGCACAGGGAGGGTTCAAGGGAAAATCCCTGAACCTAAGGAAGTGTATCATGAAAAATAAAAATTTAAAAAAAAGAGAGAGAAAAAGATAAAATAGGAGCCAGTGTAGTGGCATAGCTAGCTAAGCCTCAAAAAAAAAAAAATCTTGTCCTTGGGGTGATTCTTATTCATTCGTCAGATATTAAGCTGCTTGGAGGGAGTTTGAGGCTAACAGGGCCTGGGACCAGCACCCTTAGCCACTGTGAAGCAAAGTGGAGAAACACGGAATGCCGGATTGTGCTGGGAGGAGGAGGGCCATGGCCCTGGGGGCCGGCACCAGCCCCTTTTCCTAATTCTTGCAGTGGGCCCCCCCTTTGGGAGCGTGCTGTACGAGTTTGTGGGGAAGACAGCTCCGTTCCTGGTGCTGGCCGCCTTGGTGCTGTTGGATGGAGGTGAGTGAGGTCTTGCGGGCACCTTGGCCGTGATCCTGGCATACCTGTCGGACATGCTGGTCACAACAGCAGCTGTCTTCTTCTCTTGCAGCTATTCAGCTCTTTGTGCTACAGCCATCCCGTGTGCAACCAGAGGTAAGCAGCTGGGGGTGGGAGTGGAGGGCTTTGGCACGGCCAAAACCACAGTGACAAGCTGACCCCTGCTTTTGGTTGGCAGAGCCAGAAGGGGACACCTCTGACCACCCTGCTGAAGGACCCGTACATCCTCATTGCTGCAGGTGGGTGCCCGGTATGCTCAGTTGGCGGGGGAGGGGGTGGAGTAGAGGAGGGAGTGGCCAGGGACATTTGGTGTCTTGTTGCTGGGGTGTGGCCTTCAGGAGATCATGACAGCCAGCAACGTCTAAAAATGCAGCAAATGGCGTCCTCCCACACCCTACTGAACCCCAACTTCTGGTTTCCATTTGTTTTTCAATCTGTTAAATATTTTTTTCTAAGATTTATCTTAGAGGCAGAGTTTGAGAGATTCATCTGCTGGTTTCACACTCCAAATGGCTGAGTTGGCTAGGGGTGTGCTAGATGGAAGCCTGGAGCTTCATCTGGTTCTCTCCCTTGGATGTCAGAGGCCCAAACACTTGGATCACCTTTCACTGTCTCCTCAGGCCATTAGCATGGAGCTGGATCCAAAGTGGAGCTGCCAGGGCTCAAACTGGGATTGTTAGTTTTTACAGAATGGTAATGCTCATTTCCCCTTACTCTCCCCTTGGCTTGCTGCTCACCCTGTTTTATATTAGAATGGTCTCACTGTTGGCTGTAGGCCATGGGGTCTGCCCATGTCTGGGGCCAGTGGGTGTTGCAGGAGGAAGCAAAGACACTAACCTCCTTCCTCCCTTCAAGGCTCGATCTGCTTTGCAAACATGGGGATCGCCATGCTGGAGCCAGCCTTGCCAATCTGGATGATGGAGACCATGTGTTCCCAGAAGTGGCAGCTGGGTAAGACCTCCGTGAGCACTGCCTCAGGCAGTGTTGGGGTCCGTTTCTGCTCTGGTTTTTACATGGTGTCTGAGTGGTGCTTCCTCTGGGTGAAATGTTCAAGTACGTTGGTTATGTAACGATGGAGAGGGAGATCACATTCACATAAACATTATCATCGTTGTCATCATTCTGTTTTGTGTTTTGTTATTGTGGATTCTTTCTCTGCCAGATTGATAAACTTGGTCATGGACATATTTTTATAGGCAGAATATACAATATATAGGACTTGATGCTATTCTCGGTTTCAGGCACCAGTAGAGCCTACAAATATAGCCCCTGGGTGGGGAACGCTGCTTGTGGTGCAGTTTTTTGTTTTTGTCAGGTTGGAGTACAGCATTGATATTCTTGTAATTATCGTTCCAAGCTGAGCAATGCAGAAGACCATGATTAGTTTTCTTTATCTTTTGCAAACTTGTTTTCCCTGGAGTTGGCTATTGCCTTGCCCTTTCATCTTCTTGGTTTTCTGTGACATTTCTGACTGCCCCACAAGCCTGTGTGGCAGAGATGAAAGGTCCCCTCGATGGAGCTGGGCATATACCTGAACCTGGCCTTTTGGGGTCGTGGCTCGGGAGTGGATGTCTGTGTTGGCTTCTCTAGTCTCTACTTGTTGCTCTCAAGGTCAGTCTGGGACTTCTTCCTTCATCACCTGTGACTTCTCTGTCCTTGCATCTCCTGTGTGTTTCTCACCTGTAGTCCTCTCCCAGGCTTACTCCCTTCTTGTGGAATGTATCCTTCAGCAGCTTTCTGAAAGAGAGTGTGCAGCAAGTGAAGCCAGGAGGGATCCAGTCCCCATGCAGCCACTACCCTCTACCCTCCTTCTGCCCTTGGTTGATGTGGAATTCCAATTTGGAATTGCTTTGTATTGGAGGTTTAAGGCCAGAATTCTATTGTTTTCTAGCATCCAGGGCTGCTCTTGGGGAGAACAGTGCAGCCTATATGCTTGCTCTTCCTTCTGGGTTGACTGTCCATGATGGAGATGTGCAGAGTGGTGTCTCTGCCTCTGCAGTGCTGAGTCCTTGTTTAAGTAGCCCTTTCGCTTGGGGGAACCACCTCTGATGTCGGCATGGAATGTGTTCATCTCATTCCAGGCTCGTATCTTATCCTCAGGCAAGCATGCAAAGTGCAGACACATAGGAGGTGCATAGAGTGACTGCAGATTTTATTCAGGAGGTGAGGACATGAACGCCATGCCTGCATGAGGCTGGGTGACCCCACACAGAGCAATGCATGGCCTGAGTGGGGGAGGGAGATAGTGTACCTGGTAGACCTCCAGCCATGATCTGCAGCTGTGATGAGAGAGCCCCTCCCAGTTGTTGGCCTCTTCTGTGAGGTTTGGGCAGTGCCTTCCCAGGCGTGAAGCCACGTGGGAGTTATGTGGCACCTGTACAAGTTGCCATATTTCATGGCATTCCCTTCTCCCCCACTTAGTCCCGGATGCGTCTTGGAGAGGTGGTGTTTTGATTGACAGATAGAAGGATAGAATTGCATGGGGGCTTGTGACTTCTAGTTCTAAAGCTATCTGCCTACCCACAGCACCTCCTTTAATCCTGAGAAAACATTCGTACTATTTAACCAGCTCCCCCAACCCGTTTTACTTTTCCAGTTGGTTCTATATTGGACCCTTCTTTTGTCTTTCCCTTTTCCACCTTCATTTACTCACCTTCATTTTTCAAACTATTCAGTTTTTAAATCAGTGCTGTTGTATCTTAAAGAGCCCCTTTCTATATACACAGAGTGGTGTAAGTTACTTAAATTCTTGTTTAAAAAAAAGCATTGTTTTATCACTTTTGTAGGAAGATTTTTTTTTAGAAGATTTATTTTACCTGAAAGAATTAGAGAAAGAGAGAATGAGAGATAGGGCAGGATCTTCCACCTGCTGATTCCCTCCCCAAATAGTCAATACAGCCAGAGTGGGGCCAGTCCGAAGCTGGGAAACAAGAGCCTCTTCGAGTCTTCCATGTGGGTGCAAGGACCCAGGAAGTCATCCTCCCCTGCCTTCCCAGCACATTGGCAGAGAGCTGTATTAGAACTGGGACACCTGGGACTTGAATTGGCACCCATAGGGATGTGGGCATGGCAGGTGACAGCTTTTACCCACTGTACCACAGCAGAGGACCATTCCTTTGATATTCAGCAATGCTATCATAATTGTGCAAATATTGTTCCAAACAGAGGTGTGCAGAATGGCAGTGGAGGAAAACCTGGAGATAGAATCTCCCCTAAGTGCAGGCCCATCCTCCATCTTCATAGTTGCACATTAGCTTCCTTTGATGGTTATAGCCAAACTTTCATTCCTCTTGCTGGGCATTTGGATTAACTCCAGTTTTTTGTCATTGGAACCCCACCTCCCCCACTGCAGAGATTGCCCCTGGCATGCATTCGTTATCTATAGGACACATTGCTAAAAGCCAAATGGGAGTTTTCCTGTTTGGTAGTTAACTGTAGTGTCACAGGTATGATCAGTGTTTTAGTCTTTCTCAACTGGATGAATGAGAAAAGAGGTTTCATTTAAGTGTATTCTTTTAGAGTGAAACTGAACATGTTTTCATATGTGTGTTGGCTATGTATATTTCTTTTATTGTGAAGATTATTATGACTTATTATTTATGTTGAGAGCAATAGGGAGAGAGAAAGAGAGAGAGAGAGAGAGTTGGCTGAGAGCATGAGTGTCTGCTGGTTCATTCTCCAAATGCCTATGCTGGCTAGAATTGTAGGCAGGAGCTGGAAATGCTATCCAGGTCTATTCTGCCAACATTGGTGACAGGAACCCAGAGCTTGGAGCTGGAGAGCTTGACTGGAGGCGGACATCTTTCCAGTACTGGGGGAGCAGCCAGGAATTTGGCAAGGGGCTGTTGCTAATGTACACTATTGATGCTTTCCAGCTTTGCCCCCTCCCATTCCCCTTCATGGCAGAGACCCAGGCCTCAGGAGCTCAGGAGAGGTGCCCTCCTTCTGGGAGAAGTGGGGGGTACACATGGCTGGGCAATTAATGCCCCGCCTTTGCTTTGCAAGTGCTCTTGGACACGGAGGCTGCTGCTCATTGTTTCCGCTGTCTGCCTAACTGACTTATGATCCTAATTGAACGTGTCCTAGCCGCAGAGGGCACTTAGCTGCCGTGCTCTTGGCCTCGCCAGACTAAGCCCGAGGCTCTTTCTATAAAGTCTTTAAGGTCAGTCAGAAGGCCAGGGCCATCCGGTGAGATAGCTGAGCACAGGCTGCTTACACTGTCATCAGGAGAGGTCTGGTGGGTTTGTTGCCAAATGAGATGTTTGGGATTGGACTGACTAACCTGGTGTCTGCGTGTTCCCCCAGGCACTTCCTTCCATTTGCTTCCCAAACTTACTTGCCTTTCAACAAGAGAATCCCATTTTTGCATCTGTTTCTTGTGTCATCTCTAGTGAGAGGAACACACTTGCTTGCATGAGTTTCTGTAACTTGGAGCCTCCAGGGCCTGAGTCTGGGGGGAGGAGTCAGCACCCCACACCTTGCAGCAGCCCTGTGTGCACTTGCTCTAGCTTGATGCCACCTGCCATTCTGCTCCCCTCGTCCTCCCTGGAGAAACTCATGTGAGAGGTTGAAGTGAAACTGCTTGCTTCACAGACAACATGAGACCACTGTTGTGCAGTGTGAGGTTTAGGGGAGGCATAGATGGCAGCGCACACTCCAGCTTGTCCAAGCCAGGAAGTTCTGGGTCTGGTTAAGTGGAGACAGCCTCTTTTCAAGGCGTTCTCTCTTTACTCTTTTAAAGATTTATTTATTTTTATTGAAATGCAGGTCAGATTTTACAGAGAGAAGGAGAGACAGAGAGAAGATCTTTCTCCTTTTGGTTCACTCCCCAAATGGCCACCGTAGCTGGAGTTGAGCCAATCCAAAGGTAGGAGCCATGAGCTTTTTCTGGGTCTCCCATGCAGGGTGCATGGTACTCAGACTTTGGGCCATCCTCTACTGCTTTTCCATGCCATAAGCAGGGAGGTGGATGGATGAGAAGTGGGTCAGGTGGGATTCAAACCAGCGCCCATATTGGATCCTGGCACATGCAAGTTGAGGATTTAGCATTGAGCCATCATGCTGGGCCCAAGGTGTTCTCTCTTAACCTCAAGTTCTAGGTCCAGTGACCTTTATCAGCTTGAGGCTTAGGGGCAGACCCAGAGTTGAGGGGGAGGTTTGTGGATCTCAAAATCAAGCTTAACAGGCTCTGGGCAAGCACGGACCCAGACTCTCTTTGTTCTGATTCTTTGAATCCAATTTTCTGTATTGAGATGTGGTTGTGCAGTGAGAGGTAGAGGGAGGGACATTGGAACTGCTCTGCTCCTGCCAGCTTGAACCTCAGGCTTGTCCTGTGCACCCAAGCTGTATACCAACACGCAAGAGGTATACTAACATCCTGTGGCTGCAGGGTATGACAATATCAAGTCTTCTAAGCCCCCTGTGGGGTAGGGTAGTGCGAACCCATCCGTGTTCCCAGCTGAGACCTTGGGGACACTCAGGGCCACCTTCACTGGGAAGTAACAAGGACTCGCCTGGACTGTCATTGCTGTGGATGAGCTCTTATGTCAGCTGCCCTTGGTTTGCCTGATGGTGCAAAGTTTTCCCTTGGGTGCTGACGGAGGCTGTGGTTGAAGTCAGGTTACAAAGTGCAGCATGGTCACTGGCAAACTTTCTAGTGTGAGCAGAGAGCAGGGAGGCCACATTGCTCTGGGGAGGGAAGGAGCGGCTACCAGGTAGAGGGCTGGTGTGTGCGGGTCTGGGGACGATGTCGGTGTGCAGCAGCAGGGTCTGGGGACCAGAACGGAAGGGCCGTTTGATAAGGATCTCACTGTGAGGTGTTTGTTCAAAGCTGCCTTGTGGAGAGGCAGATTTTATTTAGAGGAAGAGAAACAGATCTTCCATCTGCTGGTTCACTCCCCAAATGGCCACCACAGCCAGGACTTCTTCCAGGTCTCCCATATGGGTGCAGAGTCCCAAGGCTTTGAGTCGTCGTCTGCTGTTTTCCTAGGGCATAAGCAGGGAGATAGATGGGAAGTGGAGCAGCTGGATAATGAACTGGTACCTATATACAATCCTGGCATTTACAGGGAGAGAATTAGCCAATTGAGCCATTGCAGTGGGCCCCCAAAGCTGCCCTATGCCTATGAAGTATGTTCCGAGGGAGCAGTGGGTATTTCTTGAGCTCTGAGATGGCAGAGTGCCCTGCTCAGCCTCCAGCTAGCAACCTCATGCTTCCAGCCTTCTAGTACAGTGCTTCTCTTGATGTTCATGAGATGAATTTTGTTGCCCAAGAGTTTTGCCTGTTTGTGGAAAGTAAGATGCACCCTGCTTTTGGGTCGTGTGGGGCACTCAGCCTCATGCAGGTTCAAAGGGGCAGCTGTCCTGTGGCTTCCTCTGGGGCTTGTCTGATCCCTGCCTGAAGCCTTGGTTTGGAGATGCAGTCCAGGCTCCACTCCTGGAATGGGAATCCAGCAGTAGGTGTGGAACCCAGGTCGGGTTCTCTGGGAACCGCTTCCCTTGACCAGAGTTCAAGATGGGCAGCTTGTAGATTAAGTTTGACCCTGAATTAGGTTCTGGTGGGCTACAATTTTGTGGGACTGCAAAAGCTTTCTGTTTTATGAAACTTCATTACCAGCATTTCCAAGTCAGGAGATTTCCTATTAGGAATCTAGAATTCCAGCTTATCGAGAAAGCACAGATCTTCCAGCCCTAGCCTGCAGTTCCCCCAGGGCAATGACTGGCTGGCAGTGGCAGATGGGGTTTGGGTGCTTTAGCCCACACTGTTAATTTTCTTACAATTTGTTGCTTTATTCACTTGTGCCTTCTGGGCTTTGGAGACACTTCATGAGACAGAGCTCATCACATATGCTTAATATCTGAACTCTCCATGTTTAGTGTGGGAAGTTGTACCATGTGGCTTTTGAAGCCAGCTTTTAGTAGCATCTTCTTGAGGCAGCATCACCAGCTGTAGGATCTGAGCTCCCATAGCAAGGCATCCGTCATTTTGTTGTATTAGTCACAGTTCAAAGTTCATCTGATTTTTTCCTTAGAGACACTTATGACAGGACAAGAGCCATGTTGTCTAGGTCTGTGCTACAGGCCAGTGCTGTGCTGGACACGTGACTATCAGTACGTGCTGGCTGAGTCAGATGGCGCTGAACAATTAATTGGCCACTGCATATGATAGGCATGATAGAAATGACTTTCTGGGATGTAAGAGCCTTTTTCCAGCATCTCATAGTTTAAAATGATTTGATTTGGGATTTAACTCAGGAAAATTCCAACTATTAGGAGGTCCAGCCTCCTGTGTGTTTGCTTTAGTATTCTGACACTAAGGAGACAAGGTCACACTTGTCCCTTTTGTGATGGTGATCTCCCAGGACCAGAAAGGCCCTTGGGCCAGCTACAGTTGTATGCATTTACCATGCATATGTAATGTCTGCAATCATACAATGGAGAACACTGCAACTTGTACCGTTTGTGGGAACAAGGCTTGGGATCAAATGTGGTATGTCCAGTTTCTGAAAGAAGTTTGGAGAGCTGTCTATAATATATTGTTCTAATGCAAGGATGCAGATTGCTGGGAGCAGCGTGGGTAGAGCTCTGGCACCCAAACCTTTTCAATGCAGAGGGCATGTTTGGCATGAAAATGTCAGACACATATAGCTTGATCACAGAGGGTGACCACATAATTGACAGTTTTGGGCTAAAAATATGTTTATAAGGTTAGTGAGAAGGAATTAGAATATAGAGCAGAAGGTATAGTACAAGCCTGTGGGTTTTTTTTTTTTTTGAGACCTATGTATATTTTATAAATGTGTATGAACTCATAGGGAAATCACTGGTGATTTAATGAAAGTGTTTGGGATAATTTCTACCCTTTTTGGCTCACCCAGTTTTCCCCTATTCTTTTTATGACTGCCTTACCTCTGTCACATGAAATTACACAGGGAAGGAAGAGGCTACCTGGCTTAGGGACGTAGAATTGCCCAGCTCCCACAGTCAGGGGCTGTTCGTGTTGGTCTCCACGTACACCAGCCAACAGGGTGAGATGGAGCATTGATAGAGAAGTGATTTTCATTTCTGGAGAGTCTCAGATGCTTTGCGAGACAGATAAGCCCGACAGGGTCCAGACAGGAGCCGTCAGCCACCGGATATGAGCTGCCTGGGTGCAGGCCCCAGGCACCGTGTCATCTGCTCTAATCGGCAGAGTGGTGTCTGTGATTATTAGGTTTTCTCACATGTGCCTGATGTCAGCACTGATAAAGTGTCCTTTTCATAAATTTACAGGCATTGCTTTCTTGCCCGCCAGTATCTCTTATCTCATTGGAACCAATATTTTTGGGATACTTGCACACAAAATGGGAAGGTAAGATGAAATGAAAACTGCTCATTCTAATATAGTTCTTAAAATGTATCTCAGGATTTCTGCTGTAACTGTTAGAAGCCATCATTTTTATTTTCATTGGAAATTTTGAATACTTTTTATTGAAAAGTATTCTGAGTGCTTGTGTCTTAATGCCCCGCCTCTTCTTTCGACAGGTGGCTTTGTGCTCTTGTAGGAATGATCATTGTTGGAGTCAGCATTTTATGTGTGAGTAAAAGATGACACTTGACAAGTTTGCGATGGGGACTTTCTTGTTTGGGGCTACAATCACTAAGCCACATTTTAAAGCTGCTTGTTATTTGGTTTTATCACATTTTTCATTTTATCTTAATTTCTTATCATCTCAAACATTTTGGATAAGAACTCTGCAAGTGATGTATTTTTGTTATGTCAAAGATTGTTTAGAATGTTTTTAGCATGCTCTCATCACCACCTGTCACCCTGCCTCCTCAATCATCTTAAACATTTACAATGTCTCACACTGTTTCGGGCAGAGCGCCTGCAGCAGCAAGGTTTTCTGGAATAAAACATTTTCTACCGATGGTGGATGTCCACGCTGGGACCTTCTCTGCTTGTCAGAGTCTGAGCGTGGACCATGCTGGCCTGCACTGGGGCAGCTGACTAGGGTTCCGGATGGTCACAATCATCAAGCTTTGATGTTCCCTCCTGACTCTTCTTTTCTTCCCACTTACCTCAGAAAGGAACAGGCACACTAGACCCAGGAAAACATTTTTAGATTTTTTTTTCCAAGATAATTTTTGAGTTGAGTAATGTTATTTGACAGTAACACTAATTTCCACTTACAGATTCCTTTTGCAAAAAACATTTATGGACTCATTGCTCCCAACTTTGGAGTCGGTTTTGCCATTGGTAAGTCACAGTGGTTTTGTGTCTAAATTTAAAGCTAGTCTCGCACCAGGAAAGAAATCTCTCTTTCATCAACTGTAGTTACTTAATTTCAATTTCTCAGAAGTCAAAGCAGCTATGGGCAGGTTAGCTCAATTACAACTTGTAGATTACCCATGCAAAGATTTCTGCCTCCATGCCCTAATCAGTTATTTTCTGAAAACCAGCATTCAAAAGGCCTCATGCTCACAGAAACAAACTTAGCTGTCCATTGCTGTGTGTGGGCAGTGGAAGGAAGCTCTTATCCAGGTCTGTGAACAGACCTTCCTGGTTGGAACAGGGTATCCTGAGAATGACCATGTGAGCTGTAGGGATTTTCAAGGCAAAGCAGGTAAGCCTTCCTATTTTTAGGGGCAGTAATGAACATGTTAGGAAAAATCTTATTAATGTAGGAGATGAAGAGTGCATTTTTCTCATTTATATTCACTGGTCCTGACAAACTTTATCACACATTAAGCCCAAGTTTATTCTTTGAGTGGTACAACAGGAAGACTGACCTGGCCCTTTTCTGACTCTCAGGTGAGGTTGGGTTCACTTAGTATATGTGAAGATACTTTAAAAGTGTGGAAAAGTGGAGTGAAAAGTTAATTTTGAAGTCTGTGTGTGTGTTTAAAGATTTGTTGCTTGGGCCCAGCACGAGAGCGTAGCACTTAAAGTCCTTGCCTTGAACATGCCAGGATCACATCTGGTCGCTGGTTCTAATCCTGGCGACCCTGCTTCCCATGCAGCTCCCTGCTTGTGGCCTGGGAAAGCAGCTCCAGCCATTGTGGCCACTTGGGGAGTGAACCATTGGATGGAATATCTTCCTGTCTCTCCTCTTCTCTGTATATCTGCCTTTCCAATAAAAATAAGTAAATCTTAAAAGATTTGTTACTTGAAATTCACAGAGAGAAAGAGGGAGTGACAAAGAGAGAGCTCGTCCAACTGCTGGTTCACTCTCCAAATGAGTGCTGTGAACAGAACTGGGCTGGCTTGAGAGCAGGAGCTTCCTTTGGGTCTCCCACATGGGTGGAGGGACCCAAGGGCTTAGGCCATACTCCTCTGCCTTCCCAGGCCATTAGCAGGAAGCTAGATCAGAAGTGGAGCAGCCAAGACATTAACTGATGCCCATATGGGATGTCAATACCACAGGCGGAAGATTAGCAAGCTATGCCACCAATGATGGATCATTTTTTGTGTGATGTGCTCTTTCCTTGAACTTTTTGAAGTGCCTTTATATCTTCTCACACAGCATCCCTCCCTTTCTTCAGCACCTTGCACATATGAAGCAATGAACCAATATTATTTGAATGAGAGGAATCTCCCTCACCTGTTAGCCACTGCCGCCATACAGCTGAGTGCTAACATTTGAGTTCCCCAATGAATGAGCTCGTGAAACCCAGCGCGTCATAGCCAGACACTAAATCCCATTTTATGATGGGGAAGGTAATGTTTACAGAGCTAGGCATGACCACTGTCACTCAGTCAATGATTGAAACCCAAACTGAATGCATGCACTTTCTTTCTGCTGCATGCCCCAGACCATCCAAGAGACTTGAGTGATTCAATCTCTGCTTAGGGTCATCATTCTTTTTAGTTAAGTTGAATGAACCAGCCTCGGAGTTTGTTCTCCACGTGGGGCTGGACTCCACTGAGATCTGGTACCCTCTGATCCACCTGTGCATTTCCCCATTGGTGAGGCCCAGGGGTGGAGGCCCTGGCTGGGTGAGATGTCTGGTTTGGAGGAGGACAAAGTTAGGCATGGCTAAGAGCAATTGGTGGCCTACAGGTGACTTGAAGAAGGCCCTGGGTTTCATGGCCAGCTTCAGCAATTACCAACCGTGCTGGGTGACAGTATGCTACCAGGCTTGGCCATGAGACCCGCAGGGAACATGGCACAGGGGAAGAGCTGGTGGGTGGCTGTTCAGATTCTACACCCTGTTCCCTCCTTGTCCACAGGGATGGTGGATTCGTCAATGATGCCCATCATGGGCTACCTCGTGGACCTGCGGCATGTGTCAGTTTACGGGAGTGTATATGCTATTGCCGATGTGGCTTTTTGTATGGGATATGCAATAGGTAAGAGCACTGGCTTTTCTGAATAACCATCTGAACAGAGGACAGAATATTCTTATGAAAATGGTTGAAATCTGCATCTGTCTCCCAGACATTTGAGGCAGCTTTGTCTAATTTTCTGTTCCCTGAAAGGTCCCTCTGCCGGTGGTGCTATTGCCAAGGCAATTGGCTTTCCATGGCTCATGACAATCATTGGGATCATTGATATTCTTTTTGCTCCTCTCTGCTTCTTTCTTCGGAGTCCACCTGCCAAGGAGGAAAAAATGGTAAGAAAAAATGTAGGATACAATGGTGTGCGTGTATGTGTGTGTTTTGGTATAGTCTTCTGGGTACTCTGAGTAATTTCCTCTGTTTGACTGAAATATTTCTTGCCAAATGCATTTGTTTAGTTTCTAACACATGCTTTATTTAACTGCTTTCACTTAAACTTGAAGAATCAAATTATGCTTGTATATAATTAGCATTTATATAGTTCTTTTGTCAACCAGATATAAACCTGTCATAGTTCAATTTGATTTTCTAGGGTTCTTGTAAATCTTGAATGTAATTTTCTGCCTTCTGTATTCAATCCCAAGATCAGCCATTTGTGCTACTGTCTGCTTCTCTCCTAACCCTTACATCTTTTGGTGGAAGATGATGTCTTGGTGTGTACTGTATATAGGATTCTGGGACTGGGCATAGGTTTTTTATTCTTGTATATACAGTTGGGGTACAAACATGAGCATGTACAGCTGTGTACCTCACAACCTCATGAATAGAATCTTTGTCAGAGGCAAGAGATCGTGTCCCTCTTTTGAACAACTTGAGCTGTTTTGACTCTACCTGTGAATTTTCCAAGTCATTTTAAGCTAAGGTGTTTACCCAGCAAGGAAAAACTCAAGTGTTTCTGAACATCATTCATACCTGGCAATGACGCTGTGATGTTTTAATATCAGATGTTACCAGATCCTTGCCAGCTGAAGGAATGCCTTGCACTTAGGATGAACAAAACAAATGAGGGGGATACTTCCTGTGTTTATGAATGGATGTGAGATTCATTTGGGATGAGCATATTACAGTGCTTGGAAATTTTCTGGACTGCCCTCCCATGACTCTCCAACTATTTTTAACATTCATCATTTAGAATATTTAAAAATATCAAGCAGTGGGTACTGGCCTTGTACCCTTTATCATAGAGGACTTCACATAATTTTGAGCTATTCTGGACCCATCTGACTCCCAGAAAGAGTGGAAGGAGCTTGGGAAATACCTGGTTGGCTACATCCTCTTTGGCTTTGATCATCCCTGGCTCTGTGCGACCATGGGGTTTCCTCAGGGAGAGATTTTCTTAGGAGTTTAACTCTCTCCAGTCTAGGTGTATAAATTCCCAATCCATCTTTGGCTGATGCTTGCACAGAAGCTTGTCCAGATAGGGTCTGAAAGTTCTCAGTAAAACACAGGAAAACATTTGTTCTGTTGCTGTTGTATCGATTTGATTAAGGCTGCATGAAGGTTAATTTCAACCTTTTAAAATTGCTCACAGTTGCTGCTGTCACCCAGGAGTCTGTTGAAGGTTCCTGGGAGGTAGCAAAGGACCAGTATGGGCCAGGAAGCTGAGTCAGCCCCGCCAGGCAGGGTTGGTAAGACCCTGTTTTCTTTTGCATTGTGTGGCTGAGGAAATGGTAGCAACTACCTCATGGGTTGTCATGAGGGTTAAAGGTAAGAATCCCAACAGAGTGCTGGGAACTGGCTCAAGAAATGTGTTTTCACTCTTCTTTCTCCTATCTGACTCTGGCCAAAGGAACCAGATTTTTCTCCCTTTCTTCTCTACAACATGCAGGAATTTTCCTTTTGCTATACAGACTCTAGGATAGCTGAGCTGGCTCATCTTGTCAGGCAGCAGTTAGTGGCTGTGGTGTATGTGTTTAGTGGAAGTTGCATGATGGCTTATCTGAGGCAATGAGGGAAGTGAGTGAAGTCTACTACTTTGTTTAGCAAAAGGAATGGCAAGAGGAGGCCTCGGTGCCTCTTCTTTCCCTGTTTAGACCAGTGCTTTAAAGCTCACCTAAACAAATTCCCAAAGGAAGTGGAAGAGGGAAAATAATAATTACAGGTTTCCAGAAAACCCAGTTTCATTATAAAATGTCACAATCATTAGAATGGCTAGCACATCATTAAAAACTTAAGAAAATATGCATCTTCCTGTTCATAATTGGTGCCCATAAATGGAAATATGTTGGATGCCATTTGATTGGCAGAATGCTAACATTTGAGGGTGGAGGACAGAGCTACAGCCTGCTCATTGTGTAAGCAGGAAGGAAGCAGGTGGAGGCCGATAACTCCTAATGATCAGGGGATATGCGGACAGCACAGCAGTATGCCACGGAGGAGAAAAAATTGATCGTTGTGCACTTGAGAAAATCCAGCAGAGATGAACACTGGCATTCAGGGACACCAGTTACCAAGTTCCGGTGGATTTGAGAGTCACAAGGCAGGCATTCAGCCCTTGGCAAATAAGTATCTCATTACACAGCATCTTGATAATAAGGAGTTTGGACCTAAGTTGTCAAGCCACAGAGTTATAAATTAGCTTATGAGCACAAATACTGTTTGGTTTACTTGATTTGTTTTTCTTCACTGTTGTCAATATAGGTGTGGAAATCACTGCTCAAGTTGTCTGTAAGAAATGCCAGTACTGCCATTTGAGAGCTATGTGCCAGTTTTGGTCACATAGGTGTTCTTAGTTCTTCTCATCTCCGGCTGAGAATAGCTGTGCTTGATGAGGGTTTATTCTCCAGGTAGAAGAATTAAGTTTTGATTGTTTCTAATTATTGTTCAGGGAAGAGAACAGGTGGTTTGAAGACTGCAGCTTGCTTAACTGGATGGCTCTGGTGGTCATTATAAAGACCTTGCCAACAATTCTGTTTTTGGGGATACCATGGGTTGGGTCAGGATGACCGGTCAGAGGCTAGGGAGAGCCAGGGTGCTCTGAATATTATGATCCACTTACAGGAATCTATTCCTTTGCAGGACATATCTGTAGACACAAAACCAGTTTTCTCTAATTATGTGCAAGAGAATACATTTTTTTTCCAGTATGAACCTCTGGTACATTTCTAAGTTTCAAATATGGGGTTCTTACTTTTTGAGTATTCTTACTGTTTTCCTTTCAGACTTCACTTGGTCCAATTATGTTCTTACCACTTGGAGACCCTGACTCTGCTCAGTGAGATGTGAGCTAGCATTTGGCAGGGGCCCCAACTCAGCTCTCAGTAGCTGGGCTTTGCTTCGAATTCAACATGAATTCTCTTCTTTTGCGTTTTCTCTTCTCATAGCAGTGTGTGGAGTGTTGCTTTAAATTTATCTGCTTGTGTGACGTGCCATTTTGCCCTTGTTCCTCATGCACTTGACTCACTCAAGTTCATGCCATGTCTGAAATACTACACGCTATCCTGCTTAATCACGTGACATGAAAAGTATGCCATATGTATTTCCTGTGAGGATCAGAAGTCTAGAACCTGTTTTGTTTTTAAGCTGCTGACAAATACTGTTCAGCTGAATAGATAAAATCTCATGCCAGTCTGCATGATGCCAAATAATCAGTCTGACTGAACTTTTTCCCTTGCAGTGTAGTGTTTCAAAAGTATTTTTTCAGAAAAATTTTATTTTAAAGGGAAAGAGTGAATTCATTCCCCAGGTGGCCACAACAACCATGGCTAGCCCAAGGCTAAAGCCAGGAGTCCCATGCAGAATGGAACCCAAGCATTTGAGCATCGCGTGCTGCCTCTCAGGGTGCACATCAGCAGGAAGCTACATCAGAAGCAGAGTGGCCAGGAATGCAATCAGACTCAGACAGCAGAAGTAGGACTCTGAAGAAGAGAGTTATCTGCTGCACCCAATGACCGCCTTGCGATGCAGTCTTATTGAGTTCATAGTATGTGCACAGTCCTGGGCCTCAGAGTCCCTTACACGTTGGCATGTATCTACGTTGTCTGATGGGGAGTGAACCAAACAGTGGAAGACATCTGCAAGGCAGAGTATGGGCCAAGCAAGAATCAAAGTCAGGGCTGGCATTCCTTCAGTCTTTGGTTTGTCTGCAGCTATCTGTCTCATACCAGGTCTCTGCGGTGGCCAGGCTGGCTTAGTGTCCTGTTTAGGCGAAGACATGTGCTTTGCTTGTACCATTTTCCTTGCTGTCTAGATCCTTTCTGTGTTCCAAGGTTCACCTCAACTCCTACTTCAGATGTGTCTCAACACCATGTGTGAGGGTAGGGACCTGAAATTGCATTTTTAACCTCTTCTGTCATTCCCATCTCTAAATTGAACCTTGGGCATGTATTTCCTTGAGAATCACTCATCTGTGGAGAGGAGACATTTAACTGTCATGGGATAAAGCTCCATGTAATGTAAGACGGGTCCAGATATTCAATGTCTAGTCTCATCCAATTTTAGAAGACAGTTAAGTTTGAAGCTGACAGTTTCAGCTGGCTTAGGGGATCATGGAAGTCCTTATCCTCATGTCACACAGGTGGGTCATTTGAGAATTTCTTGGAAAAAGATAAATCTGCAGGACAACAGTGGAGAGTAACAGCTAATAGACCCCAATACAGGCCAACATGTGACACATTTTAGTGCTTAGATTTGAAAACTGCATGAAAGGGTTTTGGGGGGAATAGTTCACACCATAGCAGGAAAACTCTAGCAGACTTATTTGATGAAGAGACTTCGCCTGAGCTACAGGTGACATCCTCAGCAGTCTAACTCCTGTGGATTTACAAGTGGACTCTGCTATGAGGCTGCATGGCTTCTGTTTGCTGAACAGCCACCCATCCATACCACAACTTCTGCATGTATCAGTTCAACCAACCACAAATAGAAAGCATTCAGAAGGAAAAAAACAAAAAACAAAAAACAAAATCAAAACCAGTGTCCTCTGTGGAACATGTATATATTTTTGCTATTACTCCTCATGCATCTGACTTACATAAGTTGTCTCACACATTAACAGTGTGACAACTACTTACATAGCTTATACAGTTAATACTAGGCACAATCCAGAGATGTGTAGATTCTACACCAACTACTCCATTTTACATAAGGGACTTGAGCATCTGCAGGGGGTCATGGAACCTACTCTGTACCCATGTTTTGAGCCTGCACCATGGGGTTAGTATAAAGCTGCAGTTTTGCTTCTAGAATGCTCAGCATGGTGCTCGCACGCATGGCATCAGCTGCCTTAGAGTACAGGCTTGGTTCTGCACATGTTCAGGAGGAATAAGGACTCTTGATGTGTAAGTTTAACATTCTAGTCCCTAGTCACACAGTGCTTTTAAATGTTAACTATCAGGAGGAAGTAAAAAAAATTAGAAAATTACCATTAGAAAAAAAAATTTAAATCATACATTTGCAAGAAGATGAAAGCTTTCGAATGCTTAGACACAAGTGTCAGGAGCCATGGTGACATGGCCTTAAACTGTTTCCACAGTAGTCTCTGTATATAGCTGGCTAAGAGAACTGAGACTTTGGTTCACTCATAGCTATCTTTCTAACCTGAGGGTGCCTGTTGTCCCACCAAGGGCACATCCAGAATGATGCAAACAAGCTGGCAGTGGTTACTTCTAGAATCCTTATTCCAACTCCAGAAGTCTACAATGAATGCTTCTTAAACCCAACCTGTTCAGCCAAGCTTCCCAGTTGGTTCTGAGCACTGACTTACGGTTCCCAACAGGCATGATCTAAGTTGCACAGAGACCACGTCTGCAATCTCCTGTTGCCTGGAACTGCCCTGAACTCCAGGTCTTCCAGGCATTGCACCTGCTGATTCCTCCAAATGACTAGTTAATAGCAAATAATAATACAGAACTTTCAAATAGTAATCTCTATGAACAGGTAAAAACCATCTTTCGAAAAAAAGCATAAAATTAATATTCTTTTCCTTCGCTCTCTTGTAGGCTATTCTCATGGATCATAACTGCCCCATTAAAACAAAAATGTACACTCAGAATAACATACAGTCATATCCACTAGGTGAAGAAGAATCTGAAAGCGACTGAAGCCCTCATCATCATCAGAGTATTTAATTGTAGGAAAGCTTCTCCAGTGACACGACTCATCCAGAACTGTCTTAGTCTTACCATGCCTCCCTGGTGAAAAACAACCAAAGGTCATTATTTCTTTTCCATGGTTATGATTGATTGCCAATAGCCTTATAAAGAAAAAGCTTTTCTAGGGATTTGTATAAATAGTGTTGAAACTTTATTTTGAGTATTTGGTTTTATTAAATATTATACAATATATTTTCACGAAATATGTAAATCTATAAATGTTTGAATCCAAATCAAGTATTTTTTAACTTACATTCACAAACACTTGGGCAAAAGAAAAACATATTTTTTTTTTCTGAATATTGGTAATGAATGTTTAAAGCACATACTGAGACTCTTCCGACGAGACACTAGAAGTCTGCCAAATAGAATCCAGACAGCGTACGTTATGTGGTGACACTGAACAAGTGGTACGAACTTGACTTATTACTATACCCACGGTTAGAAGCTAGTTATCTTAAGTGCAAAGGACAAGGATTTGAGTCAGTTACCTTTTAGGCTCACCCACAGATCTCACCTGGCACAGGTTTTCTTTGATACCCTACCCGGATTGAGATGGCTGTCAACTGTGTTTACCTGTCATGTGGTTGGCGGCAAACTGTAAAGGTACAAGGGAAAAAACCAGTAATGTTCTGGAAACAGAAGCACCCAACTATTCAGTCAGGAACAAGAAGCCTTCCTTTTACAGTGTACTCTTATGAGAGAAAACTAAGTGTATCTTACATTGTCAAGGTTGCTTGAGCATAGTACAATTTATCAACACCAAGTTCAAGTTTTAGAAAAGGAAACTTAAAAAGCTGCTGTGACCTGAGCAATCAAACTACATCTTTGACTTCTTTCTAGATCATCTAAAGTGTTTCTTTGGGATTAATTTGGGGTTGTCTGAGACTATTACTTTCCAGACTCCTAAAAGTGTTTTACATCTCCAATGTTAAAGTAATTCTTAAAAATTAAGGTAAAAGAATGAAATTGTTCTGAATAAGGGTAAAAGTAGGGTGATAACACATCCCCTTCCCCAGGCAGAAAAAGCAAACATCTGAATATGTGTGTCCCCGTGTCATCTTGTGTGCTGTGTACTCGTTTTCTAAGCATGATTACACTGATGTGCCTTTTCCGTGTATCAGTAAATAGGAATCATCAGTTTGCATTGTTTTCTATGATTGGAGAGTGAACATAACGTGCCACACAACTCTAGTGATGCTTAATTCTTCACTTTTGTAACCACAAACAAAAACTGACCTAATGTCAATTAAGCTAAGTTGTGCTTGTGTTAACCTGGACATCAAGGAACAAAAACCTTAAGAACAAAGACTCCTCAACAAACTGCTTCTTACTGTCTAGGATGAAGTGGCTAAGACTGCCCTTGCTTTATGAGCCTTTCCTGGGGAGCTTGTGATGGTCTGAAGCCTGCTTCCCAAGTGCAGGTGGTTTCATGCACACACACTTGTTACTACTTATCTGTACTGGGCAGTTTCCACAGATGTGTCCTTTCGGGAGAGGCTGACATGGAGTTATATGGGTAAAATAAAAGGCAGGAACACTGCTGCTTCTAAGGGAGGACAGACTTCAAATGGCTTTCCTTGCCACCACTACCACATAATTTCTTCCTATTTCATTTGTGTCCTTAAGGCCCCAGTTTACTTTCAGATGACAATTCTGGGTTAGCCAGGCTGTGAAGCCTTTTTAGTGGGAGGGGGAATTACGTATTTAGCAGAACCAAACATGGTTCTCTGAACGTTTGTTTGAAAAAAATATATATTTTGGTGTTGGTGGTTGTCTGTACCTGGTAACGTAGGTACAAGAATTTTAATATTCGGCCTTCTTTATTGACTGCTAAGTGTATCTGTCCAAATTATGTTTTAGGCAGTTTATTTAATAAATATTCTCAACCCTGTACCATGACTGTTTGTATTCCTTTATAAAACAAATATTGCCGTGGGAATAAATTATTGTTTTGACGTGGATATTGAATTAAAGACTATTCTCTAATGCTTGTGGATATCAGGTAAAAGCCATTTCAAGTTAATATGAAGACATACTTTCTAACTTTCCACAACTTGCTTATGTTGAAATAGTCATATTAGTGTAGAAAAAAAGCACCAAGTTATCATTGTACATTTTTATGGTTGTCCTGACTGCTGTGAAACAAAAACTGGTGAAAATATAATATGCAGGTGATTTGCCCTGACAATGCTTAACATGAGGGCCACAAATGCCTGACATGTTCCCTAAAGTCTGTGACACTGGGGACATCTGAATGGCTGTTCCCCTGTGCTTCTCATAGCTCCAATCGGATCACTAAAGGGAGCTGCCACCCAGAAAAGATCAGGGCAGTTTTCTTGTTGCTGTTAAAGTTATCATGTCAGTCAGAAATTAAGTCCTCTAGGGTCCAGCGTAGTGGTTAAAGTCCTCGCCTTAAACACGCCGGGATCCCATCTGGGCGCCGGTTCTAATCCCGGCGGCCCTGCTTCCCATCCAATGCCTGTGGCCTGGGAAAACAGTGGAGGACGGCCCAAAGCTTTGGGATCCCGCACCCGCGTGGGAGACCTGGAAGAAGCTACTGGCTCCTGGCTTTGGATTGGCTCAGCTACAGCCGTTGTGGCCGCTTGGGGAGTGAACCATCCGGACAGAAGATCTTCCTCTCTGTCTCTCTTCCTCTTTGTATATCTGACTTTCCAAAAAAAAATCTTAAAAAACAACAACAGAAATTAAGTCCTCTAAAAGTGAAAAAATTGAAAATCATTTTGCTTTAGACACAAGTTGTGCCAAGGTTTTAAAAAGCTGAGGGGCAGAGAGCCAGCTAAACTATCATTCACTTGCACCAGGTGGGTTAGGCCAGGCTGAAACAGAGTCAAGTCCTCAAACCACGTCCCTGGTGTTAGTGGCAGGGACCTAAGTACTTATCACCACCTGATGAGTCAGGAATGCATTAGCAGGGAGCAGGAACTGGGAGGATTCAAATCTGGGTACTCTCATATGGGATACAGTGTCCAAACCTGCATCTTAACTAGCTCATCCTGAGACCCATCTCCAAACGTTCCAAGATATTATTCTTTATTACAATATTAGTAACAGCCAAATAATTTTAAATTGTTAGATACAGATTTAGAATTTGATAGTAGTATCCAGAATTTTTAGGGTTGTTTTCTCAGAACACACAAAAAGCCCATAGTATTTCAACAAGTTCCTATACTGAAGAATGTAAGGTTTGAAATGTAGCATTTTATGATTGCAAAATAATGCTCAAATTTTGCTGTTTGTCTAACCCAGTCTTTCAACTAAATATCAATATATGAATACACTTTAAACAGACTAATTAAACAGGCAATTCCGTAAATCTGAAATTTTACAAGTTAAAAATTAAATTTTAATGTTTATCGGCAATTTGCAAAATAACCAGTTTATTTAGCAAAAGTAGACTCTGCCTGGCCAAACTGTACCAGGCAACTGTCCACAGTGACACAATGCTTTTCTTTGATGTTGTCAAATGAAGATTTGTCTTCTGTGATAGGCTCTATTAGTTTTTTTAGCTATTGAAAACCTAGCATGGCAGCCAGATTACATCAGTAACATTATACAGTTGTTTCCACCGAAGCCACACACCTTTCTATGCGCTGGGCTCTTTGGAGTGTCCCCACCCTGCACTAACACCACGGTGATGCCGCCACTGCCTTTCCCAGGATATGGAGCTATTGCACTACATTAAAGGTATACGTAACCAATGTCATTAGCAGCATTACTGAGCTTTCCGTAACTGTGGTTCTACAAAGTTAAAATACTTTAAAAAGAAGACTGTTATGTGAAACCAAGCTTTATGTTACTTCTACACCTCTTTCAAATGCATCAATTTCAGCAGCATGTTTAGGTATCATTACTTTTCCATGATTTAATCCACAAATACCACCCACTTACAGATACTCTGCCTTCCATGTTATCAATGATTAAGTTGTTGTTTACAAGATGAAATGTGGGTATATGTTGGGCAAATTGTTTCAAGCATGTTATTGGAACATTTTAGAGTTGAGAGAATTTGGTATATTAAGTCTGCCATGGTAATGTTCTCTTAAAATGCAGGCATGCTTAAATAAACACCAGAAAAGGGGGCACACAGAGATCTCTGTTTGCTATAAACTTAGCCAAGGAAAATATTCAGTGTTCTAATATTTCACTAAATCAGACAACAGGTGTGACAATTAACTCTTGACTTTAAATGTGGAGTAACTCAACCCTCAAGAATGTTCTCATTCATACAAATAAGACCTTTCATGTGTACAGTTTTGGACCATTCGTAACACTGTTTCCCTCACAACAATCATGTGAGGTAGTTAAAGTGTCATTCCCATCTTAGAGATGGAAGAACCTGCAATATGGAGCCCTTTGGGACTTACCTACAGTTAAACAGTTCACTAATGGAAGAGCCTGAACGTAAACTCTTGGAGTACTGGACTAAAAACCCAAGCCACAATCCTCAATAGCATTATATGAATTTTCCAGCCAATTATAAAAGCTGTTCCATCTAATTTAATTTCATGTTAGTTTCACTGTATCTTGGTTAACATAGCAGTTACCTACAAAAGGGAAAAACACATCAACTGAGTCAATTACATATTTTCCTCACTCATTCATTACTGGAATCCCTAAGAGGGAGTCAGAGTACATCCTCATTTCAAAGAACTCGTTCCAATGACTGTGTGTATATATTGTCCATTTTTCACTTATCTGTCTTTAACAAAGAGTCTGAACTATACAAGTACTCAGAATGATCACATTCCTTTATGCCTATGTCAGATGAGGCAATTTTGCATGATTCTTTTTCACAACATATTCCTGCAGGTTTTAAAAACCAAACCAGCCAAAAGTAAAAAGTAATTTTAAGAACAGTCCTCTGAAACTTAAATATCCTTGCACATGCTTTATTTCCTATGAGAGAACTAAAGATGAAAAAAATCATCATGAATATTTAAAACTTCCAGTTAAAAGGAAAGCATCAACATTTTGAAAGATATTTCAAAATCCTATTGGTTACTGTTTTTCAGTAAATTTTTGTCATCCTCCCACAAAATCCTTGACCAACTGCATATTGTAATTCCCTATTACACAGTACTTTTCAGTGCAAGCTCTTCAAAGTAATCACTGTTTTATCTTCAGCTGCACAAAAATTTTGGGAAAAAATTTTCACAAAAGCATAGAAAGCAAGCAATATATGTAATTTAAAAAATCAAACCTGCATAACAGACTAAAGCTGCAGCATCTGCTTTCATGTTACATTTGGCAAAAACAAAACACCCCTGAGAACCCCAAAATAACAAAAATATCTCAAGTATATTGAGATGATAAACTTTATAACAAAATATATATTCAAAACTTGTTCCCTCAGTGACTGCTGTCAATCTGGGCATGCAGCAAAGCTGTTATATAATCATGATGGCAATGAAAACATTGAGACGCTGGACAGTATCCTTCTTCAAACTAACTCAAAAGCTAAGAGGAAGGAGAATACACTGACACATCACACATACATAAACATGAAAAGTTAGCTTACATAATTACATAATTAGAAAAAGTTAAAAATAAATTAGTAAAAATGAATTCCCAGTATAAACCCAAAAAAGCATAGCTATAAATGCAACCTGAAGCAACCAATTTAGTGAGCTGGTCATGTTTTTGCCAGAAAACAACCTTTTTCATTCTTGTTCTTACACAAGCAAGTAACTGTGGAGAAGCAGGCCAAAGTGCGTCCTTAGAGGATTTTAACATAGTTGTAGCTGTGGTACTTGAGATGCAATTTTTCCCCCACTGTCACGGAAAACCTGAAGCAGCCTGTGTGTTACACAGACTCAGAGGGGCTAAATAAGTCATCTGCTATGCTGCTGAATGGCTGTGTGTCTATTAGTTGGCTTATTTCATTATTCAGATCTTCTTCTGCATCATCTGTGAACTTGCTTACTTTTTTGGAGTGCTGGTCTAAGGACAGGCTTTCCAAAGTTTCGATATCTTCGATGCCTGCTCTGTAGTGGATCATAAGAAGTGTCAGAGCTTGGAGTCTTTCACCTGATTTAGCCAAAGCAGCAGAAAGAAGAGATTTTTTCCTTGTATCAGTTGTATCTTTTTCTTCTCTAACAAGGGAATTATTATGTTCTAACTCCTGATCAATTTCATTCTGCAGCTTGTCCAACATGAACTCTAGTTTCTGGACCCTCTCCTCGGTAGGCAAGCCCCTGTACAGATCCCGGCCAATTTCCTTGACGGCAATGAAAACACTGTCATCCAGCCCACCTTCCTTTCTCACCAACTTAATTCCCGCACTGTTTCCCCGCTTAGAAGGACTGTTTGGACCACAGACCTCTGTGTCACTGCCTTCGTTGTCTGATGTGTTGGGTGTATGTTTTGGTGAAGGTTCTGCAAGATCAGTCCCTGGTTCAGAAAGGCGGGTTTTAGAGACTTGACGCAAATTTAACAAACGTGAGCTAGTGTTGATGATGTGCCTGGTTAGACCAGTTGTTCTGTTGACTGACTTGCTGGCCTCTGCGTCAGCACGAGGCAGGCTTACAAGAGGGTCCTGTCCATCAAGCCTGAGGTTTTTCAGGGTCCGGTCTATTCGCCTGTCAGTCGCTCCACAAAGAGGTGTCTCAGCCAGACACTTTTCTTGACATTTTTTATGGCAAACGTAAGCACAGAACATGCACTGGGAAGCAGCTTTAGTCCAGACTTTCTTCTTACAGTAATCACACCAAGTTGGATTCTGGAATTGAGTATCCTGAAAACTGTGTTTATTTTCTGCAAAACTCAGCTGCCCAGCAAGGTGCTCTTCTTTAGGGAGGGCAGAACCTTCTTCCACCAAATGCAGTTCTTTTTCTTTTTCTATGTTAGGAACAATCTGGTGGTCTGGTTCTCCTTCTTTCAGATACTTAAAGTGAACAGTAATGTCGCCAAAGCAAAACTTGTCATTGAATCCTTTTTGCACACTCAGATTGCGGAGTGCAGTTCTAGTGACGACAGCCTTAGGGGAGGGGGCTTCCAGTCTGAACTTTGAAAGATATTCCATGTTTGATGTAGCTAGGCATCCTAAAGCCACCTCTTCAAGTTTTAAACTAATGTGTCCCAAACAGATGAGACCTCCCAACTTGAAAGGATCCCTACACCACAGTGCAATGTTTAAGTATTTGTGGCAGGCTTCTATGTCAAACACACAGGACGCTCTGGTTCTTGTCCATTTTCCTAGCTTATTACGGTAAAGAATTTCTGAAGATTCCCATGTTTGAGGATCGTCTGTATTGTCCTTAGTAGGGCAGGAAGTTTCTGAAATAAAATCTTTAGCCACTTCTTGCTTTGCTACCGATGGCTTGGGTACAGTGACATCTTCTCCGTGGTCCACAGTTTTTGCTTGCTTTTCAGTGGATTTATCTGTAGCAGGAGGAGCTGCCAGCACCTTCTCTGGCTTTTCAACCACATCTGGTTCTGCCTGATTAGGAGCATCAGCAGATGGCAAAGCAACTTTCAGCTGGGGTCGTGGTGGCACAGGTGGTTTGGAAGTGGATCCCTGGGCAGGCTTTGACATTTGTGCTGGATCTGTTACCTCAGAAGTTTTTAGGGTTGAGGGCTTATTTCCTTCTTTGGGTGGGATTTTTGGTGGTACTGGGTGACTTCCTGTAACTAATTTGCGGTTTAAAACTGGTGATATAGCTCCCAGGGGTTTTATAGAAAGTGTTGTTGGTGTACGTTTGGGACTATGACTTAATGCTTGTGCCTCATCTTTAGACTCATTTTGTGTCCTGACATCACTCGCCAAATCTTCAAATTCAGATTCCAGGTCTCTGTTTTCAGCATCTACTGCCAACCCTGTGGCCTCGTCTTCATAACTCGGTTGGCATGTGCCTGACAAGAAGTTTTCTTCTAGTTGGCCGAAACTATCTTGCAGCACTGCCCCTGGGTTACTCTGACCAACAGGCCTTTCATAGTACACCAGGACTCGGTCACCAGCCTGCTTAATAAGCTTCAATACTTGCAATGTCGATGTTATTTTCACACCTGTTTTAAGGGAAATCATATACATTATTGCAATAAAAATTGCCAAAATTTGTTGAATATAAGCTTCCATTGCCTCACAGTTGCTGAACTAATGGAGGAGTAACAGGGAAACACCAAAATATTTTATTTGGTTTTTACATGACTCAGTTATTTGCAAAGCTGGACACACTGTTATCCTGGATTGTTGACTGTTCTGAACCAGATGATAACACAGACCTTCTGAGAGTTCAAGCTGCTAGCTTCTATCCCCTCTGGAGTAACAAACAATGGATTGCTTGGTGTGAACTGAGAGGGTAAGCAGAGGAAGACCTACTGGAAAAGGATTCTATGATTGATAAGGTAAGGATGATGGGTCGCTATGATTTAGCAAAGGAAATTCCCAAATATCCTAGGGCTCAAAGTGATGTGACAAATGATTCAAATTATGAGACTAATGCTTGAAATAGACAGTAAAACACTACTCTATGAATAACATACTCTTTTTAGACTTGTTCATTAAACTTCTTTTTCCAGGACTGGGAAGAACAATAAGGAATAAATTACTTTAGTCAGGCTGGTGTGCTCTCACACTGCAGCTGCTTGGGGAAGATGAGCTTTGACCTGTCACAGCTGGGAAAACTTTCTACATCACAGATCTTCGACTTACAATTACTTTCTGTCCACAGTCCACTATTTTCTTCTTTTAAACTGTTAGGATCCTATGTGCTAAGTGAATCCTTTTAGGTAATCTCTTGGCCCAGCCATTCATTCATCCTTTGGATGGTGCTTTTATCTGTACTTTAGATATTATTCTTCCATCTCTCTCAGAACTATTTTAATTAATTATTCTAATTTATTTTCTTCCTTTCGTAAGTTCTTCTTTTGCTATTGAATCTGGTATGCATCTTAACATTATATCTGGGTGACTGGCATACACATTAGAGTTTGGGAAGCACTGCTGATGCCAGGGTCATGTAACAAGGATAACTGATTTGTTACTTTATTGTCTTATCAATAAAGAAAACATGCCACACTGCATATAAAAGATAAACTAAGACCAAGCACATATTTGATAAATCTCTTAACAAGCCTACAATTGGTGGGTCATGTCTTTGAATTTCTGACAAGGCTTAGAGTCCCCCCACTGCTGCGTATAAGTCCTGCTGCTCAGCCATACATATCCAAGCAAAGAAACTTCCTAGCCACAGAAGTTTTCGCTGCTGTTAACAATTTAATTGATACAGACATGCAGGTGACACTCTCCACCAATGATCTGGGCTGAAATTTGAATGAACAATTGCTGGATATTCAGATAATGTGGGGCAACAGGCTACATCAAATATACCCTCTTGGACCAGGAAAATTACTTGCTTCTCTGTTTGTTATCTGACAAGTGATAAGGACAATAGTGCCAATTTATTGTTGTGCCAATTTAAAGTTATTGTTGAGATATCTTTTATACTCGATGAAAAATGTAGGAATAGAAGGTAGGAAAGGAGGGGAAATAAGAAAAATGGTCTAATGTTGAATTTAAAGGCTTGTGCTTTAGGACTAAAATGGCATGCGAGGCTTCCTTAAGATTTTTATTTATAATAAACTTTATTTTTGTAACTTTCTAAGCAAAACAAAACTAACAGGCACTTATAAAAATATGTAAGGGAAAACTTCCAACTGCTCTCCAGTTTCTTTGTAAAATACACTGCATATTAATATAATTACCTCCAATAGCAATAAGTCGATCTCCTCGCTGAAGATCTGCAATTGCAGCAGGCGAGTTTGGGGCCACTGTTTCAATTATGACGTGTCCAGCATATCCATCAGTTGACTGGACTAAACGAAGTGTAAGTCCAACACTTTGTAAATTTCCTTTTATTAACTCAACCTTTGATAAAGAGGAAAAAAAAAAAAAGAATCAACTTCAAGGATTCACAGTAGATTACGAAAACAGAATACTGAGAAGGCCCAAAGTTGCTGCTGTTTATACCACCATGGTGACTGCTATTATGGAAAAACAAAAAGAGGGAATCTTTTCCCTAAAACTAGAACTTATTTAAAAGGCAGAATGACACAGAGAAAAGAGACAGTGATCTTTCACCTCCTGCTTCACCCTTCAAATGTCGACAACCCTGAGGGCTGGGCAAGGCTGAAGAAGGGCAAGGTATTCCCTGCTGGCCTCCCCGATGGTGAGAGAGGCCCAAGTACTTGGGATCTTCTGCAATCCTGAGTGAACCTGCAGGAAGCTAGATGAGATTGCAGCACTCAAGACTGTCTGACGTGGGATGCTGGCACTGCAAGCATCAGTTTACCCACTGTGCCACAATGGCAACCTGGAAATCACCATTTAAACTATATAAATCAGCATATTCCCAGACTATACTATTAGGTCATCAAAAACAACCCCAAAAACCAAGCTAATAATTGTGTTCAATCCATGATCACTGTAGAAAATTTAGGGATAAAGGTGAAATGAAAGTTATTCCTCATAATACTCTGTAAAACCATTCATCTTTCATATTTTCTGATATATCTTAATGCAAAATTGAGAACTTTTAAGGCTGAGTCATTATAAACATTATATATAATAAATGAAATTCTGAGTCCTGTTTGCCTCAAATTTAACAGAAGTAATATATGTCTGATATATCTTTGAAATCCCCCTTTTGACGGTTATCCTCTGTATGTGCAGACTTTCACCTGTGGATTCAGCCAACCAGAAAGTAAAAAAACTGTATCTGCACCAAACAATGCAATATTCTATTTATGTAACATTCATACTGTGTTAGATATTGAAAACAATCTAGACATAAGTTTAAGAATACCAGAGGATGTGTGTACGTTATATGTAAATATTATGCCATTTTATATAAGAAAACTTAGTGCCTACGAATGCTATACACAGGGGGTTTCCTGTAGCTAGCAAGAGATAGCTGAATTTTCTCTCTGGAGGGAGGCAAAGAAAACAGCTTACATTATGTTTTACTCTGAGTTAATGAGATACTCTGCTCTGATTTATATGATCATTTTATTTTTTAAACAAATTTGTCATCTATTTATGAGGGATATGAATCCCAGATTCACATCATTGTGAATGCAGAAAGGCACACTAGTTCTAATTTTATTCAAATCAGTAACTTTAAAAAAGGCTAGGATACCACATCCCTCCAGATGACAAGAATTCAATCGTTATTTACTGAATTCAATTACAAACCAGTCTAACTACTGCCCACTTGCCCACATCCCTTACCTGTTCTCCAGGAGTATGACACAAAGAACTTTGCAAAAACCCTGCTAATATCCACATATGTCACTATGCTGCTTTAAAACACAAACTTCAATGAGAAATTCAATTTTCCTACTTGTCAGTGCTGGATGATAAGATAACATTTATTTGAAGATATTCTTTAATTTGGGCATTAATACATTTTGTAAAGTTATTTTTATTATAAAAAAGTCTTATGCTCTGAAAATGGGAAATATAGTCAAATTGTGGACTACCTGAAGATTTATAATACAACCCCCTAATCACTTGTATTTCAATATATCCAAACGCCCACCTATTCTTGCCATATCACATTGTAAATAACTTATTTATAATATTAGATTTCATTTACCAACGCCCTCAAGGACACATTCCGAGAATATAAAAATATTTTGTAGTAAGCAGTAACAAAGTTGAAATTTAGAATGCAAATTTTTTTAATTACAGGAAGCTAAGGACAACAAATGAGTAAAAACCAAAGCTGTATGAATCTGAGTACAGTAAAGTTTAACAGTTGAAATGTTTTTCCTTTTTTTTTTTTGGTGATTTACCTTTAGCTTTTAATGTAGAACCAGGGCTGAACCAAGAACTGAACCGAAGTTAGTGTAGGTATTTTTATTTCTTTTTTTTTTAAAAGATTTATTTATTTTTATTACAAGGTCAGATATATAGAGAGGAGGAAAGACAGAGAGGAAGATCTTCTGTCCGACGATTCACTTCCCAAGTGGCTGTAACGGCCGGAGGTGAACCAATCTGAAGCCAGGAGCCAGAAGCCTCTGCTGGGTCTCCCACATGGGTGCAAGGTCCCAAGGCTCTGGGCCGTCCTGACTGCTTTCCCAGGCCACAAGCAGGGAGCTGGATGGGAAGCAGGGCTTCACACAGAAGCAGCACATCAGGAAATTAGCCCATCATGATATTATCTGTCAGTTAAGATTTACTGGAAGATAATATCCTATCCTGTTCATAACAGAACATGTTTTAATAGGAAAAGCATGTTTCATAGACAATAGAATCCAAATACTGTGGTTATCTAATAAATAAAATATTACACAACATACTATCTTCTAATCAATATGCACGATGCTTATAACACCAATAATATCAGTCTGTCATAAATACTTTCTAAAACCTGCACTTTATGGCATAAATGATATTTTCTAAAAGAAAAAAGAAATTAAGTTAATAATACTTATAAGTAATGAGTATATGCTTAGTAAAACACACCAACATTTACTAAGTGTTCTCTGGCTTTAGGACTGTCCCTGCAGCCCTCTAACCCAGAGTATGGTGACAGTGTGAGCTGTCCTGCTGCTGTAATACATGTTCACTGTCTTGCCACACTAGATGGCACAAACTGGATCCAAACTGTATCAACTGAAGTTTCTTTCTGGATATCTAGAATTTTGATTCAGAGATTCTTAAGATGAATATAATTAGTGGCTGTGGTCACCTGTGTGGATTCCTCTGGACTGGAAGTAGAGAACGCTTGCAAGAACAAAGCACACCAGCAGCTCAGAACAGGGAGACAGCAAATGGTGTTTTACTCTCTGGTTTCAAGTTCTCTCTTCCCGTCTGTCTCTTCCTCTCTGATTTATTTATTTCAAATCAGAGCCATGGAGGGAAGGATAGAAAGATCTTCCATACATGGATTCACTCTCTAAATGGCCACAAAGGCTGGGGCTAGGCCAGGCCAAAGCCAGGAGCTTCTGGGTTTTCACACGTATGACAGACCCAGAGATCTGGGCCATCTGCTGCTTCCTCAGGCACATTAGTAGGGACGCTAGATTGGAAGTGGAGCAGCCAGGACTCAAACTGGCACCCATAAAGGACGCTGGTGCTCCAGGTGGCAGCTTAACTCTATGCCATAGCGCTGCCCCCTCCCTCCATCCCCCGTTTGTTTCTAAGGCCTGGTCATACTCTTGTTTAAACTTCTTGTTAAAATCTGATGCACACAACCATGAACGTGGCCATAATACCTGCACTCAGGTCCAGCAAAGATTCTGGTATCCTTTCTAAACTAAAACTTTAATGTTTAACTTACCAGGCATTGTGTCAGAAACTATCATACCCATCATCTCATAAAACCCCAAGAGTTACATTACATTGGAAAGTGACAATATTTAATAACATATAGAATGTAAGTATTTATATAGCATTTAAATTATAAATATGTAAAAAATAAATAAATTATAAAGGTAGGATACACTCTCTGTTGCTGGGCCTATATGAACTGATTTGCTATTTGTGGAAACCAAGCAATAGATCTTTACTGGGCTAGAAATATAGCTTCAATGGTACTCAAAACAAGGCAAAAACAAACCAAAAACCCCCTAAGTTAATTATCAAAAATTGCAGACGCCTGCTAATTATATGTGTTGGCTCACAGGGCCCAATATCCACAACACTGTAGACAACCTGTACTTAACTTCACCAATAATGTAAAAAAAAAATCCAGCCACGTGTTCATCCTTGCTGTAGCGAGCAATTTGGCAACATCGAGACGGGCTTTAAGAGCTTTCACACTCTGACATCCACTTAGCCTTTCTTGGACCCAGCTGTAATGTCTTATTTTCGCTTAGGGTGAGGGGGTAGGGGAAAACATATTGATTTTTTAATGTCTTTCTAACACAGATAATAGTGTAGAATGGATAGAAGCCATTTCAATAACACATCAATATAACTTATTTTACAAACTGTTCTCCCCGTATGAGCTTGTAACACTGAGCAAAAAGACCTCAAACTCTTCAAAATAGTAAAGAGATCACTAAATGACAGACTCTCACCTGCTGGGAGCAGGTACACTCTGAACATACATGCTTTCATACAGCAAGTTTCTGAAAAACACATCATGAATACTATTCCACAGCTTTGTTTTATTTTGTTTTCTGTCAAATAGTGGAACAGGAAGGGTAAAATGTGACATGAAACACAATATATACAATGTCAGTATAAAACAACTTTTTCACAATATTTTTTACAAATCCCATGTTTCAAATTTCATGGAGTTTTCTAAATTATCCACATTCAAAAGTTAAAGTCCTGTAGACTCAACTGAATATCCAAAACAAGTCTAAGACTCTGAAAATACAGTAACAAAGTCCTTGCTTGTTTCAGGGAAATCTGCAATCGAGAAATTTTGATGAGGATACCAGTGATTTGACGAGAATACTCAAATAGTAGGGAACTGTGAAGACAGAACACCTAACTCTTGAAGGTATAAAAACAATGGGCATGTGGTAAAAAGGCCAGGGTGTGGACTCAGTAACACCGCAGTTCGCTCTAGGCTCCTGGTCCAGTTCTGGCTGGGATCCGGGAGGAAGGACCTATGATCTATCTCCTTTCCACTTATTTGGGCAGATAGAAACTTAGTCCCCTTCTCCCTCCCTTTTCCTGTACAGCAGGTGAAATGCTGAGCCTTCCATCAAAAAGCCAGGACAAGATTTAATGGGGAAGAGGCATCCAGTAACTTGACACTTAAGGCCACCATGATCTACAGTAACAGATCTTCCCACAGAAGTTTTTAAGAAGCATGCGCTCACTTGGGGAGTGAATCATCGGATGGAAGAGCTTCCTCTCTGTATATCTGCCTTTCCAATAAAAATAAAATAAATCTTAAAAAAAAA